CAAGAGAAATGACTCTCCAGCAGCTTGCCCCTGACAAGTCAATAAAGGGGGTAAGTTTCTAAAGAAACTGTTGAGCTGCGTCGGTGAGGGTAACAAGGTAATTTGGTTTTATCAACGAATATTCGCGAATATTTGCTCTGACGAAGGGTTAACTCTCGAAACGTCAGCTTTTAAACCTTTACGGGGGCCAATTTATATTATCGACTTAGCTGATAAAACCAAATTACAAAGGTTTCTAACATGAGTAAGTATCCGAAAATTTCTCCGTTGGTAGGTGCGGACTTGTTGGATGTAATATGCGTTAGATGACAGAACTGAATGTCTGCGCATATCACGAACTTCCAAGTGCAAGAGCAAACCCTAAGTTAGATGGCGCAAATTTTAAAAGATGTTACTGGGAATTAAGTGTTAATTTTTGTCATCCACTTGAATGGCTCTCTAGCAAACGAAAGCCGACAACTATCGCTGAGGACCACCTAGTACAACATGCACACATTGCGTTCTCGCGATAGGACTACAACGGTTTGAGACTAAATTTCGTCAAGTATTCAAGGGTGAAATTATGGTGTTCAAGCCTGTTCAATTGTTTTTCGGCTCTGCATTGGTTTTACTATTGCGTTGCGGGGCTCAAGGGATATTCGCAAAATAATTTCTCCTGGGCTGTCGCTCATTGGCTAACTGCCTTTCTCCCCACCCCATCTGGGTTATTACTCATTCTACGCACCAGTTTGTTGATGTGTTGTTGACTGCTGCCTGAAGATAGGCTGTGCTCAGTTGCCATGGTGACCCCCTTGCTACTGAGGGGAATACTGCCCTCCTCTGTCGCAACCTTTTCGCCGTCGACTTCGTAATACTAATGCTAAAGCTGTGTATACAACTGTTATTGATATGTGATATTTGTTGTGTAAAACAGGTAAAGGAACACAAGGTGCTGCAGCTCCTTCAGACGCGTAAGTTATACGCTTTGTGTTATAATTATATTCTGTTAAAGTGTGGAAGAAATGAAGGGAGACATGAAAGCGAAAGACTCTTTTTAGACAAAATGATTCAACCATGGAAGGATAAAATAGATCCTTTTGCAATCGGCAGCTAAATATCAAAGCCTTAATTTAGCTCAAAAGCATCATGGAAAGTTAATACCATTACCAACCAAATGGTGTTTATTGTTCGTTCTACAAAGGGTTCTTTTAGTGAGGACTTGTTTCAGCCTTTAAGATGACCTTTGTTGTAGAAAAGTTACAGAATGTGGTTAAACGGAAAAAGTTTACTCAGATTTTGATCAGTTCTCTGATAATTTGAGTTTAGTGACGTGAATTCTTCGTTAGTTACTACGGGAACTAAGATCTTTCTTGCAACGGTGATCATATTTCTTAATAATAAATTTGACTTAGAGACGGTTCTCTTTACTAATAAGTTTAGCAACCACAACCTAACCATAAACAATTGACACCCGAATTGCCTAAACTATACAGCGGTAAAAGAACCTAACATCACTAGAACCACTTTCCATTTCGCCTTTGAGTCAAACTCTTTAAAATAGGTTCACAGTAACCTTGCCGAAACAGTCACCAGGTAGAGCTCAGTGCGAAGTGAACTAGCTGAGACTCTTTAGAGTTTGTTGAACGGTCTTGGTGCTTTCGTCTGTAAACTGCCATCACTTGTTTTACCTTTTGTTTTTCTTCTGTAGTTCATCTAGTCCTAAAACACACGGAAGTCCCAAGCCCGCTTCTCCTCCTGGGACACCATCTGCGGCGGGTAATACCGCGAATGTAGTGCCGCCCCGGCAACAGCAGCCCCAGGCTGCCAAGAAGAAACAGCGAACCAAGAAAAAGAAAGGAGGCTGGTAACGATCGAAGCACTAAAGAGACTTAGCATTGATGATTTGATTTAAGGTTCTAGCTTGTAAGACAATCCTTGAGAAACTGCGCGCAAATTTTTTTAAAAAATTAAACGAAGCAAAGCAAAACCTCGGAACTTAATGCATGCGAAGAAAACAACGTGTTTAAGCTACGCAAAGCCACCATTTATTGACAAGAAGAACAAATAAATGTCTTATCACAATTATTTAATGTGTGATTGCTGTGAAGCTCTTTATTGGTTATGATATCTGAGGTAAGAGAGGCAACTGAACTCAAAAGAAATATCTATGGTCGCGTACGCACCTTACAGAGTTTCAAGCAACAATACAATAGCTATCATACGTCTTTTTCGGTTCTTTATGTGAATAGTACAGAAAAATTACTTTGAGACACTTTTTTCATGTTGTTAGTTGTTCTCTAACAGTTGCACTTTTTTAATGGTAAGCCTGTTCCAAGCTTTGGTCAGTGGACCGAAGGATGCGCGTGAAATGCTCTTCGCGAAGTTAGTGGGAGAACGAATAAAACAGCCGTTTCATTGACAGCCGCAACCGCTGAGCGTGTTTGCTTACCACTTTTCGTGTGCGTGCTGTTTCGCTTGTTTCGACTGAGAACCTGCTATGAACTAATTAACGGTTGGACGTTTCAAGGTTTCACCTTATAATTGTTTCTTTGCTCCAGGTGACTCTAAGTGTAAAAAGGGGGTAAGTTTCTAAAGAAACTGTGGTGCAGTCGGTGCTGCGTCGGTGGGGGTAACAAGGTAATTTGCTATATCAACTAAGTTGAAATTGTAAATTGGCCACCGTAAAGACTTAAAAAGCTGACTATTCGAGCGCTAGGTCTTCGTCAGAGCGAATGAAGGAATTGTGGGTTGTGTGTGGGCTTTTATGCAGAAAGTGAAGCTACGCTATTGGTGGGGGCATGGTGACAAAAAAAAACACGAATAAATTATTAGAATGAAAAGCGTTCGTTGATACCAGTAGGATTAAGAGTGCCGATTTGGAAGATGAACTTTTGTTCGAGAGTTTTGCGGCTTTCCGAGTTACCTAAATGTAAGGAAAGACCGCAGATTGCCATATGTTGCTTAGAATGATTAGGTAGATTAAAGTGTCTAGCGACTGGTTTTGATGCGTCCTTGCCATTCCTTTCTACGTCGCTAACGTGTTCTCGGAATTGGACACCTAGTCGTCTTCCTGTTTCGCCGATGTGCAGCTTTTTGCAATAAGTGCAAGTTATGCAAAAGATGACGTTGGCTGAGGTGCACGTGAAGTGATCAATGAACTTAATGGATCGTTTGGGTCCCGATATTTTTTCAGCGTTGTGAATGAAAGGACAAGTTTTGCTTCGTGCGCGAGCGCATTTAAAAGTGCCGGGTTGGTCATTAGTTTGTAATGAACTTCTGACCAAAAAATTGCCTATGTTTTTGTCGCGTTTGAATAAAATGGTGGAGGTTGCGAAGAGACAGTGCCAGTCTCTGGATCGTTTGGAAGTAATTTAAAGTTTTTAAGAATAATGATTTCACTGAGTGGTTGTGAGGATGAAATGTAAGGGTAAATGGTATGCGGTCGGAGTTTCCTTCTGTGACGCTTATAGTGCTGACTGCCGATCAATAAGTTGGGCGCGGTGGTGTTCCGCTTGAACGATAGAAACAGGGTAACCACGTTTTTCGAAAAACTGGCACATAGACCGTTGCCTTCAATTGAAACTTTGATGTCTGAAGAGGATAAAGAATTGTCGGAAATTTCTCAGGTATATTTGAGAGCCGGTTGAAAGGAGTTGACTGCGGTTCTGAATTGAATTAGTTCCTCTCTAGTAGAGGAGGTAGCGCCGATACAGTCGTCAATGTAGTGACCGTAGAGTTCAGGTTTGAGGCCGTTGTATTGGCTGAAAAATTGATGTTTGACAAAACATACAAAACGAAGTGCATAGCTGGGTCCCATTTTGGTACCCATGGCTACGCCATTAGTTTGTTTGAAAAAGTTGTCCCCGAATGAAAAAACAATTGCGTGTGAGCACTAGTCCAGGTAAGCGAAGTAGTGATTTGGGTTCCTTAACAGTGCGTTGATCAAATAAATGTCTGAGGGCCAGAAGACCTTCGCCATTAGGATAACAGTGTGATGTCCATAGCGGTCGGCACTGAAACGCTTAAGAAAACGCAAAGACATTGTTATCAAAGCGGCCGAAAGGGCGGCGCAGTAGTTGTTTGGCGGACCGACCTCTACCAAAAATGTTTGAGGGCCAGAAGACCTTCGCCATTAGAAATGACGGTATAAAGAGATGTGATGTCCATAGTAAAAAGAAGTTTGTCTTGGCCAAGGAAATTAAAGTCGCGAAAAATTTGAAGAGCGTGTTGGCTGTCTTTAATATATTTTCCATTTTCTGCCTTTAAAAGCACACACAACCCACAATTCCTCTATTCGCTCCGACGAAGGGCTAACGCTCGAAACGTCAGCTTTTGTAATCGTTACATTTCAACTTTGTTGATATATCCAAATTATGTCTTTAATATATGATGGTAAAGTTTTGACAATGGGAGCCATAATTTTGTCTAAATAGCTGGAAATAAGTTTGGTAGGGCAACTGCAAGCCTAGACAATGGGCCGACCCGGGTTGTTGGGTTTATGAACTTTAGGTAAAAAATAAATACATGAAGTTCTAAGAGTGGTTGTGATAAGATTTTTTGCAGTGGCTGACAATTCTTGTTTAGCTATGAGTTCGTTAATACTATTTTTGACGGTGTTTTGATTAATTGAAGTGAGATCTTTGTCAACCTTTTGATAAAAAGAAGTGTCAGAAAGTTGCCGCAAAGCTCCCTTATACTTTTCCGTAACCGATCGATGTTTCTTCCGCGGGAAAGGCAATCCGCCTATGTCGCTCTTCCCTCATAACTGAACCGTGTTGTGTTCTTACGGAAGAGATCAGTGGAGCCTACACGACTGCTAACGATAATAAAAATTTATTTGTTGTAGTCGATAAATTTTTAACGTTTAGATCTAAATGGCGGAATGAATCAGACACGCAGCGGGCGCACACCGCCTTTGTTAGCGGCCGACACACTCGCGCGAGTTATTACCGCCAATAGTGACGTCATTATCGATCAGCGTCAATTAATGACCGCGCGACTTTAAAGGGAAAGTCCATAAGTAAACAGATCAGTATTAGAGGGCAGACAGAGGGTGATAGCAGTCGAAAGTTCAAGAAGGAAGTAACTGTTACATGAGTTCGAGATCAAAAGGAACGAGAGGAAGAAGAACCAGAGTTAAAAGTAAGTTATCTTTCGCAGATCGTTGTAAAGGATTTGTTATTAACTTGGTTCGTCGGAAGTTTGCAAAGCAACACAGTTGTTTTACGTATGATGCACGATCCTCGCAGTAGAGAGCGCTATTTATGCAATAGCGAAAATCAGACCTGAAAAAATCAGGCCTGTACGGGATTCGAACCACTGACCTCTGAGTTCAGCACTCTACCAATTTTAGGCAGGCCTGCTCTCAGTTGGCTTGTTAGCTCAATTGGTAAAGGGCTGCACTAGTATCACAGAGGTCAGTGGTTTGAATCCCATACAGGCCTGATTTTTTTCAGGTCTGATTTTCGCTATTGCATAAATAGCGCTCTCTACTGCGAGGATCGTGCATCATACGCATCTAATACCGCAAATATATGGACTTCGTATATTCATTGTAACAGTTGTTTTAGTCAATCGTTGGAAATGCTGCATTCAATTTGGATCTTTCTCGTTCAATAAGTGATTCTAAGTTATCAGTTCTTAATGAAATTGAATCGCTTTCTCAACATCATCAGATTCAAGAGAGGATTAAGGCAGACTTGATTGTTTCTCTTCTTAATGGATTCTGTTCTGTGCTGAATTCGCTAATGTTTCCGACCATTCAGTCCTTTTCTGGCGTGGGGGACACTGATCGATGCTGAACACCTTGAACAAATTGAAACAATGCACAGTAGAAGAGTTGAGTTTTCTTATACTCTAGGTTTTCTTACACCTTTTCTCATTCGCCACCCCGCTATGCATTTTTTTCTCATTCCTTTAGCACCTGAGTTGCGAAGTCGCCGTCGCTTGCGATACCCTGCCGCCTCCCTTGAAGGCAAGGCTTTCTTCCTCCACATACAGTCAGCTAGCAAGGCGCGAGACCTGGAAAAGAAAATTAAGGAGCTGGGAGGGGTGAGTATCCATGTTCACTTACATGCGACTACTACAGGTTGTCTCGCCTAGCGAGGGCAGATTACCCATACATGTCTCGTACATGCGACAAGTAAACTTTGCGTATGTTTTCCTGGGAGTGACGCTTTCACGTTGAGGCACGAACCAGAAACATTCGGAGCGTCTCTTAAGCGAGCAATCTAACGAGTTCAAACATAAACGGTTCCAACTTAAGTCATATTCTTTTTTCTCCAGGTTGTCGAGAATTTCCTGAGTAAGGATATATCCTTTGTTGTAACCGACCAGGCGACTACCTCGCTGCGCCAAACATCTCAAAAGAAAGAAACCACCGACTTTGCCCAATCGAGACTTCTGGGGGTAAGTATCGTGCATTGTTCACATATTGTATGATCAAATAATAGCGGAATCTTTTCGATTGAGTCTCGTGAAACCAAAACCGAAAGAAGATTATAAAGCTAATCAGAACAAAAGGACATTTCAGAGGATGCCTTTTAGAATTGAGAAAAAAGGATGAAAAGTTGCCTGCTGGAGTTGGGAAAAGTGTTGTTAAGATTGGTTTCAAAGCAAATTCGAAAAAGTTACTTTTACTTAAGTCGCACCTATCAAACAGATTTCTTTTTTCCTCTTAGCAAACTCGTGCCCAAGCCATGCTCCAAAAGTCTGTCGAGCAACAGAAGCAAGCAGTCAAGAGTACTGATGTCCTAACCAATGCACAGAAGTGGGGAGTCCAAGTCAAACCAGTTGAGCTTGTTTTAAAATGGACTAATGAGCAGAAGAAAAGACAAGCAACAGCTGAGTCAACTGGTCGCGTGTGCAGCCTGAGAGGAGCTTTCCTGAAAGTGGAAGACCACAGTCGGTTAGTGCTTGTAATTGTTTTACTTCTAGGTGAAGACTTTTGTCGACAATTCAACGACATATGAGCCCAGCCGCTGGCTGTAATTAGAGTTCTGAGTTAATTGTACGAGCATCAAATGCGTTTATCTGCCGTTAAATTACGGATTTCAAGTCTGTAACTCGATTGATGTGCATTAGAAGAATGGTAATATTTGAATGAACAATTTTGTTACAATTATGGTCAATTGGTAGCATTGATAAATCGAAATTAGCTTTGTAAGGAAAGATAATACAAGTTTAAGTTAACGTTGAATTGCATTATCGTTTGCATTTCGTTTCATATTGGGAAAGAAGGAGGAAAGTCTCAAACAGAAAATAATGCGCTGTTGGCCGTAAATGCAGCCCTCGTTCGGTAATGAGATTCCGTACAGCACATAAAGTCTTAATATTCAAGACTGATAAATTCGAACCTTCGTTCTTTGGTTGTCAGAACCGAGTTTGAACTGATCTTTGTTTATAGAGAGACACTCACACTTTCGTATCCGCGATAGTCTTAAAAATTATATTCTTCAAAGTACTATCTACAAATTGTAAGTGATTTGTTCCTTTTAGAAAATACAAGCCACTTGTCAAAGAATTGCAGTTCTGGCCGCGGCTCAACTTGGAAGCCCCACCCAACTTCTCGCCATTTGATGAGCCTGTGAGCATGCGCACGAGATCAAGAAGCTCTTCCAAGAGTCCACGGAGAGCTGCCAGGCGAAAGATCATCCGGGAACCAACGGCAAGTGAAGACAAGAAGGGGTACTGTGAACTGTGTGATGTACATTACGAGGGAATCCAGAAGCATGTCGCTAGTAAACAGCACAATGTGACCGCCTCACAGAGAAACACTTACGCAGAACTGGACAGACTTATCGGAAGAGGGAAGAGTTTAAAACAATTTGAAGATGAATTGAGGAGAAGAAGGGCCAGAGACGCATCAGAGACAACGCGTGTAACAAGGTAGGCTCAAAGTGTTGAAATAATTTTATCGCAACTGGGTCACTTGGACAAGTTTATGGCCATGCAAAGCATCTGTCCTATCTGTTGGTACATAGGGACGCGAATTCTCACCATGAATAACGCGATTATTTAAATATTGAAAATTTTTATTAGAAACATTCAGTGAAAGAAATTATTCACAGCCTCTTTCTATCTTTACTTTTAGATTAAGAACAAGGAGTAGATCTCCTGTCGCAGTGAAAAGCACCCCTAACAGAAGCAAGGAGACAAAGTCGTCATCGTCGTCACCATCACGAAGATCCCCGAAAAGAAAGTTGCGGACCCGATTTCCATCCCGAGCAACGCCCAGTCCTCCTCAGCCAGCGCAGATGGTGACACCACTCAAAGTTGTCCGATTTCAAGGTAATCAATACTCTGTCGTGAAATCGACTACAAAGAAACGACGCCGTAAGGACAGTAACAGCGACTCCAGCCATATCAGCAAATCAAAACGCAAGAAGACCGATCGATACACGATCGTCGAGGCCACTCCGATGAAGATCAGACTTCGTCGAAGCAAACGGAAGCGCAGTTCGACAGCAAGAGGATCGTTGCTCGTCAGTCGGTCGCCATAGATATTCATCAAGAAAGGCATACGGAATCGCATGTGATGCGCTATTTGAATGTGAGATGTATAATGTATGTGCCATAACTTAGAGTATCTATGGAGTATAGGCAGTGCTGCAGATTGTACCTATGTGATGAATGATGTGTAAATTCCTATTAAAAAATTAAATCCTATTAAATTAATTCCTATTAAATTCCTGTGCACTCTAGATTTTAAAGCTATTGTTTATTGATACAAGGTAAGGAACTCTCTTCGCCGGACAGAATGGTGATCTAACCGCATGGTACCACACTAGAAAATGCTATACTTTCTTCCCTAGAGAAAATAAAGACCATTGAAAAGTTTAATTGCTTTCTTACTCACTAAGTATTACTTCTTGGGCTATCTAAGCGAAATGTCACCCTAAATCGCTGCTAAACTGGCCTGTAACCAAAATATTAGGAATGTTGAAAATCTTGAAGAAAGCTGGCTGATGTAACTGTGAGCTCTCCTTAGTAACTGAAAAGTAAAAAATTACGTTAGCCCAAATTCCCTTTCCTTTTCTCCATTTTTTTTGTCTACAAAAATAGTGGCGGACCCTTCTAAACAGACCCCTTTCATTACTTTGCCACCACAAAGTAATGAAACTGGCCTTTGTGTTGTTTTTTTTTTTTTCTTTTTCACTTTTTGATATTGTTCACAATATCCTGTTACCAGTGTACTTACTGGGTACTTTCTAGGCTTTTTTAGTGAAATCATGACGGAAGCTATATGGTCAGGAAATGATTGGGGTGCTAATGAAAAGAATGGAGAGCTTACAGTGCTACATTTTTATTCCTCTCAACATCTACCAACAGTAAAACACAAAACTGTGGCCAGTTTCGATTTATTCTCCTATGCTATGTTGTGCACATTTTTTGACAGAACATGAAGACAGCTTACGACAGCTAACAAAAATGACACAACTGTCATAGTGTTCAGTTCAAAGGGCCTCTAAATGTCAACCTGTACTTACGTTGTTGACAGCGACAATTTTTACCATCGCAATGGCAGTGTGGATAGCTAGGTTAGGGGAAATATACACAAGAGACGATTCTGAAGCAAATATTGAACTGACATTCGTCAATTAAAAAAAAAAAAAAACCTTGGAGATCTGTGGTAGCTGATTTACCGTTTTTGGCGTCCTCTCGGCTTAGTTTGCAGCACATTTCGGTTCAGTTCATGGCTGTGTATATGAAGACCATGAAAGGAAATCTTTACGCTCATCTTTTTCTTCTTGCAACAAATCAAAAAGCTTTTGTTTCGGATTACACCCGCTGGTGCTACCCAAAAGTTTTTAGTTGAAATTAGTTTATGTTTTGCATGATTCTGTTAAAATATGGCCGTCGCGATTCGGTGTTTCGCAGCTGTATTGTCTGATGTTGGCGATTGAGGTTTTGTGTTGTGGTCATAAGTAAATTTTCATTGTTGGGTTAAGTCTCTTTGAAGAAATAATGATGCTATCTCGATCTATCAATTAAATACAGAATCGAGAAGACAGCAAACTCGTTAACTTTAGTAAAAACAACAACAAGGATTATTCATTCGTCATTAAAAAAGAAACAAAGAAACACAAGTGAAAAAAAAAATCAGTAGGATGAAGAAAACAAGGGAGCTATAAAAACAGGAAATATACGACAAAGTTAGGAAAGTATTCCTTACATCAACAGACACGTCCTGGCCCTAACCCATTACAAACTGGATGATTGTTATTATGCTTCCTATCTTTATACATCTTTGTCTCGATTCGCGGCTTTCTCTAAGTGTACATAGCAAAATAATTCTGACTGATTTGGAAAAAAAAGGTAAACGGAGGTAAGAACAGCAATACAAGTGAGTAATCATTTGAACGCGAAACTCAAAACCCTGTCACACTGAATAATAACAACTGAAGCAAAGCATCGCTACAGTGATATTAATTAACAATAGAATTAGTCTTGTGTTTCTCTCTCAAATTAACTGTCAAATAAAGTAGCCGAAAGCTGAAATGTTCTAAGATTAGTTTGACAGCTAGAAATGATGGATCTGAAGCCGTAGGAACATCACGTGTTGTAAATAATGGTTGCTTCGCAGAATACTCTGAACGCTAAAGAAGTATCAATCACAATTCACCCAGTTGTTTCAGTAGTTGCGATTTAAAGGTTGCGGTACAAATTGTCCAAATTTTGCGCTGAATCCAGCCGGACCACGTATCAAATCGCGACCCAATTAGTGAATTTTTATGTTACGATGAGGTGATTTCCCTCATACAATTAACTGTTCTTGTTCTCAAGTTAAATTAGTTTAACAGTGAGCATTGAAATGGGCGGACCGCATTGCATATCACCTGCTGTGACAGAGTCTAAATTAAGACCGCAGTGGTTTTATTTCCAGCTCAAATTTTGAACAACATTTGGCAAAACAGTGAAGACCTTGTAAAATCGCATTGTCCCAGCGTTTTGTTGATCTTCAACTGTTACAACTTGCCGCACGACAAGATGGCAAAAGTGGAAGCCGGAAAAATAATCTCGTGGAAAAAGTTTCGTACGCGCGGGCAGAATAAATCCGGTCTTTTGATCCACAAATCTGAAATTTTCTTTTCTCGGACATCTGTCTCACGGTCTTTATTTTTAAATCAAATCTTCAACTCCTTCACATTATATCTTACACAAAAGACTATTTAAACAGCAAATAATGGAATCTCAGTGAGGATATAACTTAATCATCTTTCGTTCTGTCGCGAATTCAAAAATTACCATAATCGAGAGAACTTTTCAAACAGTCACTCTTTACTTTCAAAGTCTCTATAACTGTTATTAAAGAATTAAAAGTTCCTGTATGTTGAAACGCTTATTTTTGTAGAAAATCATCGATTGCTTAACCATTCAAACAAGTTTTTGACATGTCTAAATTATTGAATTAAAAAGCAATATGAGAGAAAATTGAATCTGGAAAACTAAACAGAGATACCCTTTGAAAACAAGATTTCAAAAGTGTGCTTAATTATTCTAGTATTCGTAGCATTAGTGTTATAATTAGCTTGTCATCTTAATGTGATCCTAATACCTTTATCTTGAAACATAACTAAATTGATCGAAAAGACGCAAAACTGCTAAACCACAAATCGGTGTGTTGGATAATTCTCAAAACCGTAGACATCTCCACTTTAAGGCTTAATCAGTTAGGAGTTTCTAACATCTCGAATCCATAAGAAAAGTGTCGGCAAAAGTGAAAGGCTAAACGCATTTTCCGATTTTAAGGCGGAAAGTTTCACATTATGATTTGTATCTTTGTTCTGTCTTCTTGGGCAAATAACTCGTTAGCTATTAAATGCCAATTTTTTTCCAGTCCTAACCTCACTCAGTGGTTTTGCTATCTTTTAGCAAAAATATTTTAATCACGTTTCTAGAATCAGTGGCCGGCATTTCATTCCCCTTGTATGTTATCAACGAAATACTCTAGCCGTATACACGAACTTGTTTGGTCATAGATCACATTTGAAGAGTTCCTGTTGCATTAATCAAATTATCCTGCATATTAGCAAATCAATCGAGTTTGCTAAGATTACTTAGCTATGAAATTGAGAAAAAACATTATACGTGAATCTTGACAATACGCGAGTCGGATCAGTGTAGTCCGTGAATGGTTAGGTTAAGAAATGCGATCAGTGCGGTTTTGGACACTGGGAACGCCCGCCTGCTAGTGGTAGGTGGGGCAAGTTAGCGAGTTTACTACAATAACAGCTACACTGAGAATACGTTCCTCACAAAATAAAAAGAAGGTAATTAGCGGCGAAAAAAATATCTGACTTTGAAACTTCACTACTGAGATTCTATTTCATTCGGTTAATCTTTTGCAATCCTTCAGTTATCCATGAGAACGAACAGGTTATTGCTTTCCGATTTGTTTGTGCATGAGTAAAATCGCTGATAATCCATCAGTGATAAACGCGATTACCATCATCAAATCGTGTTAGCGACCCGGTAAAGACTATCTCGATTAATTCTAAGAGATTAACCTTTCTTTATTGCGCGGTCAAAAGAATCCTTCTTATTTGATCGACTAAAATGACGAAATGGATAGAAAATTACTGATATTAGGTTAAGAGGAACTCATTAAACCGACTTAATTGAATCTAAATATACACAATAGCCGCTTTGAATATTGCATTTAAGACCCCAAAAAGCAACTCTTTGTGGAAAGGTGTTTCGGCTTATACAAAACGTTATGTCCCTAAAATATCGTTTTTAAGAAAGCATTTATGAAATAAATTGCACAGAAATGAATTAAGTATGGAACTGAAGCACGCTTAGGAATCGATGTCTCGCCCTCCTATTCAATCTCAACCTTTTAATTGTTTTCAGCGAATTAATTGCCTTTGGAACCCACAGCAACTATCGATAATTTTCTCTTGTCGAGTTAATTTTAAAGGAATAAACTCCGAAATATCTTTTGCTCATTAAACGTGATAAGACAATTGATGAATTAAAAAGCTTTCCTGCAAGCAAATTGCCTTGTTGTATCGAAGATGACCGACCTAATGGATGAAAAGTTGCGAAACAGGTGTTTTGCTTGAATAGAAATGAATATCAAACAGAAACCTTGGCGTGTTTCTTTTTTTTCTGGAATAGGAAGTGAATCTCGTGTGTTCAACTTTGCTACAAAAGTATATATTAATTAACTCGTGCGATACAAAAGGTTTTCGGACAATGCCAATTTTGTCTTCGCTACCACATGTCGTATACCGACAGTACATTTCGCTGGCAAAAGCTTTGAACGGATATTATGATTAAAACTGATTCTTTTGTTTCAAAGAGAGTCGAGTTTACTGTTAAAAGTGGCCCGCAAAGAGGTAAAACCCCAAAGCAGTTGAGAAAGTTTTTCTCTTAATTTCTCCATCTCAAAAACACATATTAAATTTGCAGGCTTTATTTATTTCTTATCATGGTCTATAAAGACCAATTTAAGTCATTAAGGCGAACGCGCAGAATTATAGGTTAATGTTTGAGTTAAAAGGATACGTGAACAATTTGTTTGTTTATTGTGAAGATACTAATAAGTCGGTTCTTTCGATTATGTATTGTATGGAACCCTCTAATCAATTTTACCAATGGCCTAATGAGAAAACAGCATACTTCTGAGGGCCGTCCATCGTTTAGCAACTGCTATTATGAAATTAGCAATCGACATTTGCCAATCTTGTCGGCTATGAGTATAAAAGGCTGCTATTAACGTGAAGGTTCACTCCGCGCAATCAGCTGTAGCAGCAAAGACTGCGGTGAGGGGATTTAATGAACGCGCATAAAACCTGAAAGGGAACCGTTCTCGAATCACGGTGATTTTGATCTTTGCGATTGACTGACCATGCAGGCGTTTACCAGTCCATACGTGTGCCCGTATTTCACTTGCTCATCTCCGTATTGCCTCGCGTTGAGAAGCAGCGCTGTGGCGTCGAGTTTAGCGATGAATCGACCACCTCCGAGTCCAAACCAGCCTGGAATATCTTCATTTACGATTTCATCCATTCTATCTCGTACAGAAGAGTCACCGAGTAAGACAGCCAGATCCGAAGAAACACCGGTATCTAAATGCTCGTCCGAAGGGAATATAAGCTCGCAGTTCGTTCCTAGTTACTCGTCACATGTCTCAATTGAAAGATTTCATCCTTACCATCGGCCTCTGACAGCAAGTGCTTTCGCGCGAACAACTTGCGGTAGTTTGCAAAAAGGTGAGTTGCGCCTTTAGGGATGTCAACGGTCAGTTCTTATTCTTAACTTTGCAATTTATTGATTTCTTGAGATTTAAACAGTAATTTCCACATTTTGACGAATTAAATATTTTGCTTTAGAAATACTCTTTTTTTCAAAGCGCCTCAATAAATTCCATACCTATCTACCAATTACTAGATTTCATTGACTTTATCGCTCGACGAAACTCAAATTTTCGTACCTAACCTCAATTTCTTGCTAAATAAAATCTACTTTTTATATAGGAAGTCCTTGCGCAAGAAAATTTGGTTAGTTTAGATTGCGTTTTCCTGTTTAATATGTGTTTATGACTTTTAAGTGTTGGTGTTAAAATACCCAACAGTATACCTCTCTTCACGTTAGTGAGGGGGCATACTTGTCTAAAGCAGACTCTTTCAGATTCAGTTTTTTAGGAAACTGCCATGGGCCAGTCGCTGAAACCGTTTGATACATTTAGTGAAAAAAAAGAAGGCTTGGGAACGCCTGTTTTTCCTTTAAGAGACTTTGATATCTGAAACAACGTTTGTACCACTTAAATTTTTTCATGACTATGAAAAAGGAGACGTTTCAAAAGAATACTTTTTCTTCTTTGTTAAAAGCGAGGGTAATCACTGTAGCAAGATTTTCCCATGCGAAACCTCAGTTAATTGCTTTTTTACAAATGGTCTCATTCAATAACATAAAGCTCTCATCATGTGAAACTAGGGTAATTAATTTTTTCAATGTTCTAAACTAAGAAAACGCTTTCTTTGGTAAAGTCCTTAACACAGTTTAAAGACTGAAAGTCTAAGTATTTCTATTCATGCGATAAGATCGGTATTAGCTACAAAGGAAAAATAACGAACGATAGACGTCCTCTAGCTTGTACAGTTTCTTTTTCATGCTAATTTGCGGGTCATGCCATTTATTACAGAAGGAGAGGCAATTCTTTCAGTTGTACACCATGAAGAAAACAAGGCGTGGAATTTCAAGCAAGGAAAACCAAAGAGAATTCGTACGATTTTCACGCCAGAACAACTCGAGCGATTGGAAAAAGAATTTGACCGGCAACAATATATGGTCGGAGCCGAGAGACATTACCTCGCCGCCTCCCTAAATCTCACTGAAACACAAGTGAAAGTCTGGTTTCAGAACAGAAGAATAAAATGGAGAAAACAGAAAATGGACCGACCCAATTCCAGCTAAAATATTGAAGATCAGTGAAATATCGGAATAATATGCTTGCGAGAGATGAAAGTCGCGGACATCCAATGGGCTTTAATCCATGGATATTTACAATTGAAAAAAAGATGTCCAACCGTACTAAAAAATGTGTTTTGAAAGTGAGCATATTCACAAAATTTAATCACGAATCTGTACACATTTCAAGACTTGACTAGCAGACTTGAAAACACACCTATCGCTACTTCATTAAAGACATAATTGGGTAAATTCTGTACCCCGAAAATCGCTAACCTTTGCAGCCAGATAGCAATTGTATATCTCCTACACAGAAGGCAGTAACGTCGATCGATGCCTTTACAGCTCCGTAACGAATAATTATTTATCGACTCTTTATTTAGTTATTTAGTTTTTGACTGAAAAATTGAGAATGTGGCTTGAATATGGAAAGACTTAGCTGTTTGATTTTTTCTTCTATCCCGTTGGCCCGAAAATGGTCTTAGTTTGAAATTGTAAATATATAGTTGTATAAAAAATTCATAAATCGAAGATTTCTCACTAATCATCCGATATAATCAGGGGAATCATACATTGTGCATGATCATTCAAAGATTTTGAGTATTGAAGAAAATTTGCTTGTATCATAAAATTGCCAAGTTTTCGGTGTCTTTGTAAAGTAGTTTACAGACTCAGAAATTAAGTGCCCTATGAGGCTTAAAGTATTAATTCAAGAGTTCTTCCGGCCACAATAAACTCAGGCTTTGCATTCGAAGCTTTAACTCGCCGGATTAAAGCCACGTAATGAAGAATTAAAAGCAATTAGACTTTCAAAAGAAGCCTCTGGCAACCGGGAGGGCGCAGGAAAAATGTAAGTTGAAAAGAGACTGAAAACAAAGCGTTCTGTCAGTTCAGATTTGAAGCTCGGCTTGACGGTGATAATGGGAACACCTTAACAATAGATTTAGGCTTCCACATGATCTTCATCTTAATAAAGAAAGATAAAACAAAAGGTTTCTCTGACCTAATTAACGTGTCTTGTTTTATTTTGAAATGCAATATCGTACTTACGTTTCCGCATTAAATTCTAAAATACCTCAACTGTTTGGCGTTAAATGACTTACTTTATTATAAAGGAGTGGCATAAAGGCAAGAATGAAAATTGCATTGGTTCGTTTAGCAACGGCGAAAATTACACGTGCAGTGTACACTACAAGTTGGAATGGAGCGCTTCGATTATAAGAACGATTGACTGCCCGCCTGAACTCTCTATATGAAGTTTTGTTGATTTCAATAAATTAGTTTCCTTTATCCCGTTTTTTAGGGAAAATTCCCCAAGAGGTGTAAATATGAGATTCTCTACTATTTCATCATGCAAAATGCGTGACCTTATTTGAAAACTATTTTATCCCCTTTTCTTTACTTTTTATCCTTTGATTCTTGACTTCGGACAATTCAGGCCACATCGTACATCAAGAGAACATTTCTCTTTGGTACCTGTACGCATTTTTGAAACATTTTATTATGTTAATTTGCGGAGTTGTTCTCAAACTTCCATTACTCAATCTCTGGCCTACTTCTCAGGCGTGCATGGGGACAAAAATAAATCAACAAAGTAACAAATAGATAGCTAATCAAATGAGTTAAAATGAAATAATTAATTGCGTACCCTAAAAAATGTTACGCTAGCAGTTGCGAATATTGATATCTTGAAAATTTTGCTTGCTACTATGTCCTCTGGTCCATTATTAAGACCGCAATGAAGAGTCAAGGGAACTGTAAGATACTGCACTTTTCTGGCATCGGGTGTTTCAGTGAAAGGGTACAAACTTCTGCGTGTGGCACACTTAAAGTGTACGTATACGTGAAAAGTGGCTAGAACTCACCTCAGTCTACCTCAGCCGCCAAATTAAACCTTGAGAAGAACCTGGGGACTAAGAAACAAACATGGCAGACCGGGTTGTCTGGATGTAATATTACAGCCAACTATACAATTGGTTTAAATGCTTCTCGCCAAAAGCCGATATTTTTCCTCCTCTGCGCTAGAAATGTCACGGATCTTTGCCATTTCAGATATTCACGTTGATATACCCGAAAACCTTCGTTTGGTTAATAGTTGGACAGACACTGACTTCAAGAATGATGTGCTCATAGTTGCTGGTGATGTGACCGATGACTTGTCTCTCCTCAAAACAGTCTTGACGTCACTGACTCAAAAGTTTTTGAAGGTCTGCTATGTTCCAGGTATTGTGCACAAAAAATTTTATTAAGCAGTATCAAAATGGTTCGTCGCAGTTTTAAGCGACTCATGTGATAGACATGGTAGAAATTTAAACAATATATGACGTTTTTCGCCAAGTTTCATTTAGCCTTATCTAAACACGAGCTGGCCTGGAAGAATTCAGAATAATTATGCAAACTTAAGAGCATAAGATGATTTGCATGACTTCTGAAAATTCTCTCAACCCCACTTTACCTGGCTTACTTATATTAACACAAGCTAAAAAGGAGTATTGTTGCTTAATCCTGGTGGGTGGAATGCAAACTAGCCCATATTATTCCCAGCATTTTTTCAAGTTCCCATGGCAGGTTATTGGCAGCCACTTATACTCTTGGGTGGAGATCAGAGAGGCATCGTGAGTATTTTAAAAGGGCCTTGCCTAAGAACATGAGAGCATTATTGGTGACCAGGTCTCAAACATGGAGCCCCAACCTAGATTTCAGGGCCCAGTTGTTAAAAGGGCAGATAATGCTATCCAATGGTTAAACTGCCATCCAAGGTAAACGTGTGAACAAAACTCACTGTGCTATCCATTGGATGTGATTTATCTCATGGATAGTGTTACTCACCCTTTGCTCAACTGGGGCCAGATGGATAAATCATTAATATGGAATATACTCCTTTCCATCTGATTTCAGTTAGTTGTTAAGCTCTTGTGCCTTCCTTTCCCTAGTCGTATCCATGTGATTCCTTCATGTAACAATGTCAGTTTTGCTTTTTTTTTTCTGTCGGTTTACAGAGGTTTGTATGTTACCTTGATTTGAAAATTTCCATCCATTTTGATTTTTACTCTTCTTTCACTCTGATACAAAAAAAGAGCAAGTTTTGAACCATGATAACGTTACAATCATGTGGCTCAGTAGACAGAAACAGATGAGCTTTGTTATCCACCTAGTCAAAATACGATGATCTTAGTTGGCTCCATCTTTGGTGACAGTGCAACCTTTATGGGAAGAGAGAAATTTGAAAAATGTCTCACTGGGTGGTAGAAGGTTTTAGTCCTTTGGCTGCACTTGTAAATAGATAAATATTTTAAAAAAATGTTGCATCTTCATGAGAGGGGTCATTTAATTTCAACACAGTTTAGCTTTCAGACTCGATGGAGAAAACTGATCAACATCAGTCCTTGAGTACTTTCCCCTTTTTTTGGGTGGGGACAAAGATGAGAGATTCTGGAAACAATACTGGGAATAGATGACATCATGGAAGATGCATTTGTTTCCTAGGTTTCACATTTGACTGTGAGCGAAGAACCCACTAAAATTTGCCTGGCTCCAAACATGTAGCTTTGCACTTGTAGCTTAGTTGATAATAAAACCCAATTATTCTCTGGAAGGCACAGATTTTAATACTGTAAAAACAGAAGATGTGGACACTGTTTAACAGAATATGAAACAAACACAAAAGGCAATGCTGTACCTAAAGTAGTAGCTTACAGCAACCCAGATACCAGTTGCCAGAGCAAAATCTTGGTGCTTCACTCAGCATTTATGGTATTTTCTTTATATAGTAGGTGATGAAGAAATATATCTTATTAACCAAGCGCGAGGGCCATACTGGGAGATTATTGGCCCGAGGTCTTGACAGTACAGACTGAGTGCAGTGAGGTCCGTACAAAAAAGACAGAGGGCCGATGTTCTTCCAGTATGGTCCCGAGCAAGCTTGGTTAATAAGAGATTTATTATAAGACTGAAGTTCAAAGCGACTCAAGTGCAGTATCATTCGGAACCATTCGAGACAGTGCCCGGTCCAATACTTAGAGAATATTGGACCAGCAATAGAGCATTTTGATTGGTTGATTTTAGTTATTGGCCCTCTGACTGCCCGAGTCGTGTAATAAATTATGTATTTGCAAACATAAATCTATATTACATGCACAAACCATCATCACCTGATCACCAGGGTGTCAGTAGAAAAGATGTTAAGTTTATAAGTTTTTGCTCTCTGGGATTCAGATTTTTAATATCCGCAAGAGAATGTGTCTGTTGTCTGTATTATAAGAGATCTGTATCTGTTAAAGTTTTGTTGGAACATATGAAACTTGTTTTTGTTGCTAAGTGTCCATTTTTGGGAATTGTACACACACTGTACAAGTATATTATCAATATAGTGGTGGGGTGGAGCCTGTCATTTATGAGTTACCATAACCTAGGTGTAGCAGGGATTGTAGAAGATTTCGGCTACGCTAAAAAACAGTCGGAAACCTCAGCAAATACCTAATATCCATCATAATGTAAGAGAGACATGGTTGCCTAACAGTTAATATACTTTACTATGATTTCATATGTCCAGACTCTATTCCTGGCCTACCCTCAGTCAGTAGAGAGGGTTGTTAGCTTGGGCAAGCAAAAACTGGTGGCAGTTTGGAAAGGAGAAAGGGCACTGTCTTTTTTCACACCTTCCACAGACTGAATTTAACTTTTCTGTTAAGTTTAACCAGGAGGCGGTTAAACTTAACACGATCATCGTGTTAGTGTGCCTGTCTTTACTCTAGAGTTAAATACATGGTAGAGAATCCTAGATGAGCTCAGGCAGTAATTTACATTTGGAGCAGCAGATCCTTGCAAGTGAGAAGCAGAATTGTTCAAAATTCCCATCAACACCCAGCTGCACAGGCTAGTCTTGGGAATGAGCGTGCGTCACTTCCACACTGGACCTTTATTTTTTATGCAGGGAGGGGAGGGTAGAAGAGGTAGGGTAGATACCCCCTTTTTACCAGCCTTTTATTTCGCATGCCTCATTTGAAGGAATTCACGGCAGATATATCGTTATTATTGTTATTCCGTTCTCTTAATCTGATTTTCTAGTACGGGATTTACGAGTTGTCAATTCACATCTCAAGTTTTTCTAGAATTTTCTGTTTTCATCATTTTGATTTCAGGGAACCACGAGCTTTGGATTCGTCAGGTTGAAAATACATACTGCCACAACAATTCCATCGATAAATTCCACGCAATCTTGACTCTGTGTGATTCGATTGGCGTTCATACCAAACCAATTAAAGTGCAGTGCTACAACGATACCGCGGCCTGGGTTGTGCCAATATTTTCTTGGTACGCCAAACCAGAGGACGACCTCTATAACTCGTTATTTGTTGGAAGGGACACCGAAGATGCAGAACTGTCTAACAAGGTCTGGATGGATAATCATCTCTGTAAATGGCCTGTACTTGAAGGATCTGTTGCTCAATACTTTGCAAAACTTAACAAAGACATTTTAACAAGGGATTACGACGCACCAATTATATCTTTCAGTCATTTTTTGCCTCGTGTTGAGCTCATCCCTGCTTCAGAAGAGGACATCGAACGAGTCCAAGACGAGAGAAAAAAACTACACCTCCCGCAGTTAGACAATCCCAAAGCCCAAGGATCGCAAATCCAGTTTAATTTCACGCGCTTTGCGGGTTGTAAAACCATAGAAGAGCAGATCAGAGAGATTGGCTCGAAGGTACATTTACATGGACATCAACACCGTAACAGGGACCGTGTGATCGATGAGGTGCGCTATGTGTCCTTTTGCCTGGGATACCCCCGGGAAAGGTCCATGGGAGTTATTTGGGGCCTTTCAGAGAAAAAAGGACCTCGTCAGATATGGCCATAGAAGGGTCATGAGCACGGAACCAGCAATTACAGTAATTATCAGCGATGGGTTGTTAATTTACCCGCATTTTAATGAGACGGGAACGAAAGCATTTGTTAGAAGTGTATGATATTCATTATATGGTATTGCGAAAGACAGTTACCACCAATCAAAGATTAGTATTTAAATTTGGTTTTTATTTCTCTTGCCTATGTCCGTGCGTCTTATCTTACTGTAAGGGAAAATGGCAGCAAACAAAGTATTGCCAGTGGACCTTTCTATAAAGCTGTAAAACTAAGTCAAATATTTGGGAAAATCTTCTTTATAGAGTGAAGAACCATACAATATCTTCTACCAAATAAAGTGTATTTTAATTCGAATGAAAATCATAAGTAGAGGTTTGAATTCAACAACATTTGTGATGATCTTTACACTACCGGAACTGGTAACCGGATAGACTATGTGCATCGGTTGTGTTACCCTTTACCCGCAAAGAGGAGGGAAACTGCGATGAACTTATCTATATCATCATCATGATAATAATGACAATATTAGTAATAATAATAATAATGATAATAATAATAATAATAATAATAATAATAATTTTTATTTCAAGTCGATAATGTAGGAAGTGGTTGCCCAATCCCCCGAGCCGGTGGCTCATGTTAAAAACACTCGACAAAAGTAAAATAATAATAATAATAATAATAATAATAATAATAATGATGATAATAATAATAATAATAATAATAATAATAATTTTTATTTCAAGTCGATAATGTAGGAAGTGGTTGCCCAATCCCCCGAGCCGGTGGCTCATGTTAAAAACACTCGACAAAAGTAAAATAATAATAATAATAATAATAATAATAATAATAATGATGATAATAATAATAATAATAATAATAATAATAATAATAATTTTTATTTCAAGTCGATAATGTAGGAAGTGGTTGCCTAATCCCCCGAGCCGGTGGCTCATGTTAAAAACACTCGACAAAAGTAAAATAATAATAATAATAATAATAATAATAATAATAATGATGATAATAATAATAATAATAATAATAATAATTTTTATTTCAAGTCGATAATGTAGGAAGTGGTTGCCTAATCCCCCGAGCCGGTGGCTCATGTTAAAAACACTCGACAAAAGTAAAATAACATAGTTCAAGTTTTACAGTGGTTCTTTCACATAGCTAAATCATACACGAGTGGCATTTTACAATTTTCCATTTTAAATAGTGTTTTACACGGTAAAATAGGTACATTGTGAGACGAATCTTGGTCAGGCATAGTTACAGTTATGCGGAAAACTCAAGTTGGTAGTAAAATAAACCTTTCATTATCTTAGTCAACCCTGAACAATTGAATACAAAAACTCGCATTGATTGTACTTAAATCACTTTTTTTCAACCGCAAGTTGACTGGTCTGATGGAACAGATGTACAGTTATTGTATCAGATTATGACGCGCGCGATAAGCCATATAAAACGTGTAAGCCTGTTCCATACCTCGTAGTATAGTGCGGCCGGGGGAAGGTTTATGAATTCCAAGAAAAAAATGAATATTCAGAGAAAAGTTTGTGAGCCCGGGCTTACAGGCTTAAAGGGAGCTGCGCGCCTGTAAACCCTCAAATTCTTAAAACTGATTAACGTTTTACTTCTCCTTACAATACCTATACATTATCCAGCAAAGAGATGACGAGAAAAGAAAAACGTGTCACGTATGGCAGCTAAAAGAGAGAATAACTGACTTGAAATTCAAAGGGTTGAAGTGGCCAAGTCTTTTCAACTCCTTTATGGCGTCAAAGGATCTTTGTTAAGGTCCGCCCGGTTCTCTAAAGCTTGCCTTTTCCATTTGGTCCTTCTGTTCTGGAACCACACCTTCACTTGTGTTTCACTGAGCTTCAGGTATGATGCTAGCTGCTTCCTTTCGGAGCCCACCACGTAGTGGTTCTTCTCGAACGATGTCTCCAGGCAAAGAAGCTGGAATGGTGTGAAGGCGGTTCGAACTCGGCGAGTTCTTCGGCTTGTCGTCTTCTGGTTTCCTTGTTGTGCAGAAGCGCTACTTGGTGCTACAAGTGAATAGATGAAGCTACATCAGATCTAATTATTCTTTGAACCATCTTGGGTACCCCTGTCTGTGTAGCTGTTCTACCCTTCCCTTCATTACGTGTCTTCTCCGTAAAACAAGGGGAAAATGAAGGCAGGTTGGGAATTTGTTGAGGGTACGCTCTAAAATTTTGCCTTCAGAAAATTACGTGATTGCAATAGCGCTCATATCTTAAGAAATGAAACTTCGCAACAGTTGCGAATACTCCTAAAAACATAGGTCGTTTTATACGCGATGGATACATGTAGTTTAGGATCCAATTTATTGAAGGAATTTTTCCTTCATGGCGATAGTTGATAGCTGAAAAAAAATGACTAGAGGATGGATTCTTTTTGTCCAACTTTTAATCCAATATCTGACATCAAGAGAGGAAATATCTCCTCTTTTTCTCCTTTTCTGAGATTTTAAGAGATAATGCGCCCGACGACATACTAGAACACTTTTTACCTTCGATACCAAGTTGATATGATTTACTAAATAAAACCAACTTACGTCTCTCTGTGGTTGTTTTGGGCGGTGAGGAACTTTCTTGAGCGACCCTGCTTTGACTTTGGTATGGCGTCCACCGAAAGTTGTCCCGTGCGATTGTTACCGGGGTCGACATGGACTCGTATTTCCCTGATGGGCTTGTTATATCCTTAGTGGTGGTTGGATAAGTCAAAAACTTCCTCTCGGGCGTGAAAAGTGAACAGGACGGAGACGAATATTGACTCGGAACTGGCGCAGCTACGATGTCTTGATATCTACAGATGGCCCCGTTACAATCTGCAGAAGGACAAGGGCATCGGTAGTACAAGAAATTTGTCGACATCATGAAAGCTCAGTGTTGTTTTGTTCTTGGTCTTATCTCCCTTTGGGCCGGTCCTGGATGAAACTGGGTTCGCTAACTCTGAGATAAATGCGTTTATAAGTGCGTCTTTTATTTAACCTTAGGTCAATATACGGAATAAATGAAAACGGATATTACTGTATTAAGTGAGAAATAATCATTTTTGGTCTTTGTTTGCATTGAGCTGTGTGTAATAATAACTTAATCAGAAGATCGGATGTAACACTGTCTAATCTACACCAGCAATATTTTGTTCTTTAGTTCTTTTCTGTCCCAAGGACGTTGTTGTTCATTGTAAATCGTATAGTAATCGCACTTAAAGTCGGCAGATTGTCGAAAGTCATCGGGTGCCTATTCTGAAAAGTACGAATTACGAAATCGCGCACTTACGTTGAAAAAGCAATCTTATTTGTGTATTTGTACTTTCTTTCTATCGAAAAAAAGACAGTCTGCCAAAAAGTTAAAATAATGAATAGTTAACATACAATTTAGATGGTCATAATTTGAAAAATACACTTCTTAGAAATCAAATCATTCTCTTTCATTAGCTAGTCGAATGTAGGTGCGAAACAAGTACCTGAAATTTCATGGGAAATTAATCGCGCTTTACGGAAAAGGAGTGCAGGTGAAAAGCTCAAAAACGGAGTAAGATGTACCAGGGTTTGATTCATTGTCACTTTATTTGTATTTTCACTCTCAGTCTCAGTGTCACGTGTCAAGAGAAGAGAGATTACTTCGGTTGATTTGCCGTTTCAGTGCGTCAGAAATTCGCGCTGAAGAATTTAGATCGTCTTTGTAGCCACCATTACTCATACACTTAGCCTAAGTAATTTAATGCGCTCGTTTGCAAGCAAACGAGTAAGCACGCTTGTTAAAGGGTCGTTTGGTTGTAATAACGACCGTGGAAGAGCAATATCCACGCAAAAACGGTGCTAATTATCGGATACGCTGTAAAGGGAGTCTGGAAATTAAATTTGGAACAAAAGCACTAATGGTTGCCGCCAGCTCGGCGTGGAAATTTGGTTGTTCCTATTCTCAGGCAAAGTGAAATTTTTTAAAGTTTTAATCTAACAAAACGGAATCAATAAACTGGTTAAAGCTTTTTAAGGTTAATTCATACCATTTATAAAGAAGAAGAGGACTTCGTTTTGCGAAACGAAGTAAATAGTTAAAAAAAAATGGAATACTTTGAATTTTTTACTCGTGTGGTCAATGATTGCTAGACCTGTACAAGTACCCGAATCGGTCCTCATTAAAAGCTAGCCGTTAGAAAGATTACTACATTATTTTTCCATAAGATATTTGATGAAAGAACGCCGCTAAGTATAGTAAGGTGTTGACAATTTCTCTCAGTAAGTATGCAGGCCTTCGTAACCTCCTACATTGATGTTTGTTCTTCAGTAAATAAATATATGAGATTTAAAACTATTCCATCATGTACGTCAAATCTTAACAGAACATCTTGGAATGGGAATAATTTTTCAGGTAGCCTATAAAAAGAACAACTTTTAGTGGCTGATTACCTTTAATGCATAAAGATTGGCGGTATCGCATGGAAATTTTAAATGCAAACAGAGTGATCATAAAAGTATCCATCGATAGCAAGTAAAACCAACCACGCCGAGAATTCTAAAGAATGGAGGCTCATCAAAAAGAATCAATAAAAATCGAAGATATTATATCAAAGATTTTATCTCTTTTGAAAAAGATCAGTGTCTAAGAGAAGCTAAAATGACCGTCAAAGGAAAACACTGGACTCATTACTTATGAAAAAATTTTCATCAGGAAATAAATATTCTTAGGAGCTTAGAATAGCTGACAAACTGCTGCAAATACACAATTAGTTACAATTGTTTGATGTGCGGCAACGAACCAATGATCTGAGCTAGAGTAAATTGAGCAGTCCTGAAAGAAATGAGGTTATCTCTAAAGTGTCAGAGTAATTGATGATTTAATAACAACTGCGAGCGTCTTATGAAAACAATATATATAGTAAACGGCGAAAATGAATTTATTGGCAATCGATGACTGTGTGGATCACATTATGTACACGCAGCCAGCAGGTGATTCTAGAGGTATTGCGGCACGTGCGATCAAGTGTTCTTAACTCATGAAATCGACATAAAAGCAAATCGTTTACTTGTTTGTGGTAAAAAAGAAGAAAAATTATTTCCTTGCTGACTAGTTTGTTTCAAGCGTAAAATGAAACGCGCTCAGGAAAGGTCTTGCGTGAGGCAAGTAAATGAATGTAACGGGAAAACCAATGTCTTTTGAAACCCGCTTATACTTTTCAGTCAGGAGAACGTAAAGTCAATATTGATTTGAGTCGATAGTATTTCGGTGCCTGATTACATTTTGTATTAGTTCTCCGTATTTCTTACGAGTTAGAGGCAAGGTAAGCTATTTCTGCCCAAAAATAACTCGTTTAACGCATATCTAAATTTACGCCAATTTGGAGTTTTTTTGGTTAAAAGGAAAATCATTCCGTACACAACTGATGGATGAAAGGTTTCCTTCTAGCATATTAATATTAAGGACATGAAACAGTTTGATGCTTACAGACGATCTTGATTAAACTTGTATTGTTTAAAATTAACTAAGGAGACACGTGCCCCTGTTTGAATAAAGACTTGATCATGAGCTTTGTTCGATTTCCTCTTTTGAATTCCTACTGTGCTTAGTTCATTGTTTTACTTATGGTGATTTTAATCACTTTTAACTCAAAGAAACCCACCAAGGTTTTATGGGAGATGGCAGGCGCTCTACTTCTGTAAACTGAACTGTGAGCTGAATTTCAAAGCAATCCATGTCGAATAAAGTCGCTACAGCATTTGAAGTGTCCAGTATGTTTTCTCTTGTCACTATATTTTAGTTGCCAATATAGTAATTTAGAGCAGTTTTATGTGATTCTCATGCTTTAGAAAAGCAATTTGAAATTAATGCATACACCAAACTGATCTATGTCCGAAATGAAACAGTTTTGTAATGCAAACAAATAAATTATCTCATAATACACACCGCCATGATCAACATATATTGTTCATTTTTGAAATAAATTCTTCATATTGATGAATGAGCCGGATCTTTCCAGAATAATGTACAACACAGCGCCTAACCCTTATCAAAGATCCTGGAAAGCCTTGAACATCCTCGCAAATCTTATTTTGAATTGCCTCGTGGATTAAAGTGACTTGTAAATGTGAATTCAAGGTCCGAATGTTATCACATTCTCTATTTCTGTTCCCTCTTCGTCTCTTTTTCTAGACCATGAAATAATGGTCTGTTTGTTTATCATAACATCTTTATTCTCATAAACCTAGAGAGAGCTTTGCTCATGTACTGGCGTCTTGTAAGCATCCTGAACAAATCGTCGATCAAAACAAAGATCACCAATAAATTCGATTTTTACGATTATTCACTGAATAGATTTCAATGTAATTGCCATGTGCATTGGAGCCCGCCAAGATTTAACACCACTTGATTTTGTTTAGCGTTAATTTGGGTAAGCGTTATCTTGAGCAGGGGAAACCAAAACAGGAAGCGAAGTGTTAGTTTGTGATAACTGCGCTATAAATACGCCTTATCTTGTTCCTTCAAACAAAATCTCGCGATCGACCATCCAGACAGACAGCGCCAATCGACTTAAAGGTTCCCCCCTTGTTTAAAAGTTAATCTTACGAGCACTTAAAACTCCTTCTACCAATGAAAAAGTCAGGATTATTATTTCTGTCTCGACCAAATCAAACTTTAAAAAGAAAAAAAACTCAGCTTTATGCATTCGGGTCATTACATCTGGTGGTATCATCATGGCATGTACACACATGTGGTTTATCAGTATGTGGATTAGTTAAATTACACCCAAAACGATCGATCACAACTCAGTGTTGTTCAAGACCGCTCTTTGTTGATCATTCTGTTACTCATTTCCTTTCTCTTGCTTACTCTCTGTCTGCTGGACATTTTATCAAGCTGTCGGGGTGCGGCGGGGAGGAAAGCTGTACTGGGTGGGGAGAGATGTGATGCATTCCCCACCCTCTCCCCATCCTGGCCCTTTCATTAAAAGTATACTCCCTTGTCTCCCACTCGTGTTTACCCACACTCCTGAGGCGCTTGCCTTTAGAATTATGAACAAAAAAGAAAGTCAAACAATAACCAGGCTTGTGAATTTTTTTTATTCCTTATCAAAACATCGAAAAAAAACGTTGGTGCGAGATTTTCAGCTGACGTTCGGTTGGCTAGACTGTAGACCACGAACTTGCTTGTATTTTAAACAATTTTAATGAAAGAATGTGTCTTTGTTTAATACCTTTTAACAAGAGAGGAAAGCCTCTCTTGTTTTTAACACGTAGTGTTACTTGTGTTCCTAAGAAAAATTAAAAAAAAAAAAAATGAAAATAGAAAATAAAAACTGATAAAAATATATATACATTTATAACCCACCCATTAATTTTGGCGCGATTTTATTGGTTACTTTATTGATAATGGTGCAGAATCACAGGACAGTTATCACGCAATAACCCCCGTCCGCGGCGCGTCGATATTTGTCCTTCGATTTTTTCCGTGAAAAAGAAACATAGTCAACACAAGAGTTTCTACTTTTCCGTTTTCCTATTTACATGGAAGGAAACCAAACTCGTTTTTTTTTTTGCTTGCTTGCGTCAATCACGCGCATTCGCCATCAGATCACCACTGGCTTTTTTTATTGTATTTAAGCGCAGTTTAATTGCGATGTGAAAATTAAACCCCGTTCTGGCTTGCTGGTATGTCGGCTGATAATGTCCTTGGCTGAGAGATTGCCCTCAAAATTTCATATTTGCCCTCGAAGCTTCGCTTCTCGGCCAAATATTCATTTTTCGGACAATCTCTCAGCCGTGGACATTATCAGCCGACATACCAGCCGCCCGAAGGGGTTTATTTACAGTAAAAAAAAAAGAAAATCAATATTAGTGCTAGAGGAAATTTAGGAGGACTTTCCAACAGAAAGGAAGAACAGGTTTGAAAGGCTACTGTATTCTTGTCTTTATTTCCTCCCGAAATAATGTATTCGTCATTTAACATACTTGTACTTTTAGGTCCGTGTAACCCAAGGAGTTTTTGTACTCGTGTAAACCGCTCACTTAATCTTTGTGCTTCATCTCAATACTTGATACCCGACCCTCCCCACCCTGAAATTATTTGTCATGTGACGTGAGATAATGCTTCTAATCATATTCCAAGATGGCGCCGACACCGGGTGAAAACGGAGTCGCCAAAGAACACGCTGCTGCCGTAACAAGGAACTATATTTCACAGCCAAGATTAAGTAAATTACTTTAAATTCTCTAAGAGCACTGTTATGGGTCATTCGATTGCTTTTCGTTCCCTATTTTAGTTCTAAATCGATGAAGTTTGCACTTAGGTCTCACGTTTATGATCTGCAAGTCACATTTTGATTGCAATTTTTGTTGCTTTTTCTTTCTAGCGTACAGAACAGTTTCAGGGGTAAATGGTCCTTTGGTGATATTGGATGATGTAAAGGTAAATAGGGCTCAACAAAACCTGAAGCTTTCTTCCTTGTTTCGATTGATCCCGGGTTCTGAATTTAATTTACGTTTTTTAAATATTTATGCCTGGACACAAGCTCAGCCCAAACTCGTCCTGGTTTGATTTGGTCATATGCAAGATTTCTGTCGATTCAACTTGGCTCCTTTATACTCTGTTATCGTGAAATTTTATTAATACATTTCCAGACATTATCTTTTGACCATTCATGATCAGATTGATTTGTCATGTGATTACTTTCTGTTTGTTTTGTTCCCCCTTGTGGGCAGAAAATTTAATCAAAACTTCCTAAAAGCATTAAACTGCAAATATATCTTTTTTTTTTCTAATTTCATCAAGCTGTTTGACGTTTTTCTCAGAGCTGTACTTCTACTTTACTTCAAAATAGTTAATCATTTATTTTCAGTTTATCTTGCCCACATTTATAACTTGAATTATTCATTATTAATCAAATTTTTTGGGAATCTCAATTGGATCTTTGAGTTCGAACTTACTCAACTCATAAACATGTTAAGTGGGAGAATGATTCTCACCAGGCCAGCCTTTTGTTCAAGGTTATGCCTGAGATGTGCAAGGGCCACAAATTTGGATTTTTATCCCCAATCTTTTTTATATAATTATAGCATGCTTTGTCCTGTAATAATTATCTATTCTTTTGTCGGTGGGTAGAAAATCAAAACTTCCAAAGAGAAGTTTGAAAATGTTTTACCCTTTTTGTTTCATTAAATTGGTAGAAGATGGTAGCAAGGTTTTCATGAAATGAAAGGAAAAATTCGCAGGTCACATATACTTCAGGTGGCATATCATGCCCCACGCAGTTTCATAAATTCATGAATCATGCTCACCCTTCTGTAAAATTCATGCATCATATCAATTTGTATAGGTAATAGCATAGGGCCAAGTAAAATTAACGATTAATATCACTGTCTTGTGTTTTCAGAAGTTGCTGAAATTGCCCGAGTTGCAAAGCGATGAGGGCAATTTCAGCAAATTCTGAAAACACAAGTGATATTAATCTTTAATTTTACCAGGACCCATTGCGATTACTTGTTAATGAAATTGAGGGGAAAATTACTGAATTTCTGAATGCACTCTTCAGTAATCAGTCATAGGAAGCCATTTAAAGTTTACAGAGAATCAATGGCCACAAATGCATGAATGAGCTGAATAAAATTTTATTTTTGCACAAAGATACCAGGACTTTGGATAGGCTTTTGATTTTAGATATCTCTCCAGTGATGCCTGCATTACTTTCAGGGAGTCGGGCTCATATCACATCCCCGTTTTCTTTTTGTAACTCAGCATTAAACTGCGCCAGTGTTCGGTCAAGGACATCGCTCTCGTACTCCTCTAAATTTGCTTGGAAGTTTCTTTCATTCGCCCACTTTTTAAAAACATTCTTCCAGTACTCCGTGCTTTTCCTTGTGTTTTCGTTTTCACTATTGTCTTTTAATTCTTTGATTTATTCCTCGTCAACTATCCCGAAACGAGACGCCATTGTTACAGAAAATCTTCAGCATGCAACAACTTTTCGATAGCATTAGCTGTTGCTAAGCAACCTGAGTACCAATCATGAGCTAGCAATTTTTCCCTCTTCTCAAGAAAAATTAAGAAAAAATACTCTCTTCATTGACCAATCAGCATTCTGTAATTTTGCCCTCTATTTTATTTTGGCCTTAATCGCACATCACGTAGAACCATTTGCTACCTACATAAAAGTTGTATCTGAACTCAAATAGGTTAATGATTTACTTTTAGAATCCATGGTTTTTTCCAAACTAAGAATTGAAATCATTATTTAATCCATTTTTAGATGTCCTCATTGGATTTTTGGTTCTCTGAGTTAACCTTGATCTTTGTATTTAAATGTTTGTAGTGGGAAAATGGTTCAAACACAATCAGTTTTTTAAAACATGTAATAATCCACATGAATACATTAGGCCTGAGAGTCACGTGGCCCCTGACTCCTGGTGCCCATTTCTAATTTCTGTAGCACTAAGCACCCAGGAGCACATGTATGTCTTTTAATCTTGATGGGATGCCACATGTAACCCCACTCCACTCTCCATTCCTGACCCCAGAATTTTGGCAGATTTCTCAAAGCATTTGCAGCCTTGAACCCATAATTTGTACTCCTGGGTGAAGGTAGTAGTGTTAAAGTAAAGTGTCTTTTCTATATGTAAGAACACAACACAATGCACTGTTCAGGCAAAAACCTGGTATCCACTAATCTAACCACAAGGTTACTTTGATCATCTCCCACATAATTGAAGGGGGCAGAAAATAATCTATAATGAAACTAAAACAGAATTTGTACAAGTACTGCAGCTGTCAAATAAGTTTTTGATCCTGCGGATTTCTTAGAAGCCTATTTGAATTTTATAATCTTACTTTTACCTAGTTTCCAAAGTATGCAGAGATTGTCACTTTAACTTTACAAGATGGGTCACAAAGAAGTGGTCAGGTACTGGAAGTCAGTGGATCCAAGGCTGTGGTACAGGTACTCAAAAGCAATCATAGTGCATTTGACAGTTTTTTTAAATTAATATTTTGTGTACAAATTCCATGATAGGGGATGTCAACATAATCTTCTACAAAGTGGTTTGTGCTTTGACAGACGGTTAAACTGGATTCTCACCAAAGATAAAAATCATTAATTTTTGTACAGCTACACATGTACCAGATTTTGTTCTTCTTGTAACAAAGTTTATGCTGGAGATGAAAATGATTGTAGATTAGAGTAAATTAAGACTAAGTTAATTTTTTATCTTTTGGCAAAGGATGACAGTAATGTACTGTATCTTAAAGACAGGATGTTAAATCAAATAAATTTGAAACCATTTTGACCTAAAATTAATTTTCAATTAGCTGCAAAGATATATATGACCATACATGTGACTGAGCTGGAATTTGCAGTGGAGATATAACCCACAATAATTTTTCAGCAGCATTCATGTTTAATTTCTGGCAATATTGGCTCCAGCATGTTTTGAAACTGTCTTGTTTGAACATTTAGGTATTTGAAGGAACTTCTGGTATTGATGCCAAGCATACTACATGTGAATTTACTGGAGATATTTTAAGAACCCCTGTGTCATCAGATATGTTGGGTGAGGAGAACAGTAACTTTTTGAATATGTTTTTTATTAGGTTTTAAAATGAATCTAAATATGCGAAGTGGTAAAATACATATGAATCTATTTATTAGCACACCATAAATGAAATGTACATGTTTTAGACCTTGTATAGTGAAGGAAAAGAATATTTTAATTACAATTGGGGTCTTTAGTGTCAATGTGAGCCATGTTTTTTTTTTTTTTTGCAGGACGTGTCTTCAATGGATCAGGAAAGGCAATTGATAAAGGCCCTGCAGTTATGGCAGAAGATTTTTTGGACATTCAAGGTGGTGTTTTCATGCATCTTGTTAATTGTCAGCGTTCATATGCTGAAACTCAGAAAACTATGAACACCTGATGTATTTTTGTAGTGTTATGATGTTTTATGAAAAGTAGTGGTAATTATGAGAAAATTAAATTGCAAACAGACTATTTCAAGTGGTTTTAAGGTGTGCTTACTTTTCTTAGACTTAATTATGACTAGCAAATGCACAACTGACCTGTTAGAATCAAACCATTAGTGTTCATAGATTTATAAGTTTTACAGTACTGTAAATATAGTTCCATTTAGGTTTTGAGACATTTTTTGAGATAAAACCATTTTTTTTAATTTTCTTTTTTTTCTTTTCACTTTTTTCTTGGAGAAATTTGAGTACTTGGTTCATACAACTGTACCTATAGAAATCATGTAATTTTTTACTCCACAAGCTTATTTAATAAGTGAATTGATTTGATTAATCAGACATCTTTGTGTGGGTCCATGTTAGTCCAAGAGAGCATGCAAGTATTTAAAACTGAATGCTATTAATACATGTAGCTGCTTTATGTAGGAAGCCAACTGAATTACACCAGTAAGAGAGCACTCACCTCTCACCTCTCACCACTGTGGCCTGGCTTCGATTCTCAGACCTGGTGTCACATGTGGGTTGAGTTTGTTGTTGGTTCTTGTCCTTGCTCTGATGGTTTTTCTCCAGGTCCTCCAGTTTTCCTTCCTTGGCAAAAACCAACATTCCAAATTCCAATTCGACCTAGGAACAGTAGACAGGAAGAGCCACCTGATGGATTGTCCACTGCTTAATCATCTGATTTTCTTATTTTGTGGTTGGATAATTGAAAATTTGTTAAGTTAAAAATTTATTAAGTTAATCACTTGTAATGATAATCTTGACCCCTTACTTCATAAACAGGACAACCAATCAATCCGTGGTCCAGAATTTACCCGGAAGAAATGATTCAGACTGGGATCTCTGCTATTGATACAATGAACAGGTTAGTTTTAAAAATATACAATGTACAGTACTGTGGCACGGTAGTTGTGGCATGCAGCACTTCCCATTAGTCAACATATCATGTTTTGCATGGTGGGAGGACCATATGGTACATTGCATGGCAATATATATGTGACATAGTGGCCAAAAACACCCACTGAGCCTTTGGTACATATATTGCATGCTTTAACTTCAGGTTATGGTTTAAGTGTCCAAGTTAATGACCATTGTATGTTATCACAGGGGGAACGCAGGTAAATTTTAAGGGATATCATTTTATGCTTGATAATGGCCACTGAACTATGGGTTAGTTAAGTTTAGAATGACTTTTGTTGCATAGCTGCTTCTAAAGGTTGCAATTTGGGAATGGTAAATTGGAACCTACAAAATAAAAAACTCTAGCTTGCAATGCTATGAAATAGAAGAAATACACAATAATACTAAATTTACCATAATTAAAGGCAGAACTTAGCAGTGTGCACAGGGATCTTTGTGAAAAGACGAATAAATCTCATCAAAATGGAGGAAACCAGCAAACCACTATAAAGGGAAAACTCTATTCTGAAGTGTGGTTAAATGTTTAGCATTGCTTCCAGCTACATTTTTGTTTTTAGTTTTGGGCAGAAGTTCAATTGTTTGGTTTCCTTTGTACATTGTGAGGGAGGTAGGCTTCACAAGGTCTTTGGAAAGAAACATATTTTAAGTTCCTGATATTTTTTCTGGGCTGTTTAACTGAATTGCCTACAGAACTGACACAGATTCTTGAAATAGCAAATTGCTATTTTTACTGTCCGTGGAATTGTTCATAATTTGATTTGTTTTTTTATTTTATCATTTCAGCATTGCTCGTGGTCAAAAGATCCCTATATTTTCTGCAGCAGGTCTGCCTCACAATGATGTAAGTCAGGCAAATGAAGTTTTTATTACTCTTTATGCAAAAGTTTAATTTACAACAATATTGACAATTTTATTTTTTCTTCACATCAGATTGCAGCTCAGATATGTCGGCAAGCTGGTTTGGTGAAATTTAAAAAAGGAGTGATGGATGACCACAGTGATAACTTTGCTATTGTTTTTGCTGCTATGGGTGTAAGTGTTATGACAGTGTTACATACACTGATCATGAAACATGTAGTTGTTATAACTAGTTAAACATGTAAACAACAAGTTTTTTAATTCCAAATTAATTTTATCTTTATTACTTTATTTTTTGAGAAATGTCAATTTTCACTTCCCAACATCTGTAAATAATTATATTCTCTATACAGCTCTAAGTACATTTCCTGTCGTACTGAACAAGAGAAATATTTGTTTGATGATCAAAAGGTTCTAACAGGACCCCCACTGATACCAGTACTTAGTACACTGAAGGGGTTATCCTATACAAATATTATTATTGTTATTATTATTATTATTATTATTATTATTATTATTATTTAATTGGCAACCATCTCCTTTATTTTCACGACCTGTTTAATTGAGCAGTGATACTGTAGGAAGAAATAAGATTTCAGTCACTCATAGGAATTTATAGGTTAAAAAGGAGGGGGAGAGTAGCCTAGGGGACTTTTCTTAAGGAAATAAGAGAACATATTTTATGTTTACTTATGTTTTTTTATTTCAAATGTGATATTTGCCTTTTCATGTAGGCCATAGCTTTATATCATGCATCCCATTTACATGAATTTGAATATTCTATGTTTTTAGCAATAGTTGCTTCAAATACCTAAATTTAATGATGAAGATTTCAAAGCAATATTTTGAACTAATCCACTTTGTATCTGGTGGCACATAGGCCTTCACAGTGTGTCTTTTACCCATTTTTGTCCGTTACCCTTAATAATTAGTCTTTCCTGCTTAGCCCAGGTTTGCCATTCTCCATAATGGTCTTTAATTACCTAAAATGCATGTTGTTATTGATTACAGTACAAAGTATGTCACTCTGGAATTTGCAGTTTTCATATATAACTTTCTGTAAACTTGTACCCATAACAGGTCAACATGGAAACTGCGCGTTTCTTCAAGCAGGACTTTGAAGAAAATGGTTCCATGGAGAATGTGTGTTTGTTTCTCAATCTTGCCAATGATCCAACGTAAGAAAATTTTTTTTTCCTTCATATCTCTACCATATCCTATTTATTTCACAGAGGAGATTTGTTTTTGATTAAAGTGAGGTGTAGTTATCATCATTATCCATAACCCTTTCACTCCCAAGATCTCATAAGTAATTCTCCTTACTCTCTGCTGTGTGATGTTGCAATGCTGTTCAGAGAAATTGGGACTGGATCAACAAATAATCTCTGAATTGACATTTTTCTGTATTCTCATCACTTGTCTGCTTAATATTGTATTGATAATGTGAGGAGAAATTCTGTTTTGGTCACTCATGGGAGTTAAAGGGTTGAGGGCTTCTGAAGGAAGTTTAGTAGTTGGTGTGCTGCTAGTGTTTGTAAACCCTCAGCCTTTTCAAGATAAAATCTGCTTAGATCTTGTGAATCTATTTAGTACAAAATAGTGTATAATTACTGCTTATTACATTTATATACCAGTAACCCAGACTATGGTTCAAACACTGTTGAAAGCCTGTGGTCCACAAAGATACTTATCTGGAGATACTACATGTACATAGTCGAATTGAAACTATACTTGGACTCTAGACTCTGAAAACTGCCCCCCTGTCTAAATGGCTTGTAAACTGTAGAAATATTTCCATATTTAAGCCATACAAGGAAGGGCCCCCCACCCCACCTCCCCTCCCCTCCCCCCTCAAGCCACATGTATGCCAGCATTTGTTTATATTGCAAATTTATTGAATGTGAGATTTAATTACCTTCCTTGTCCTAACACCATGCTTGTTTCTTTTTGTTTTATTAACATAATGAGCTTGTATTTTGTTTTCTTTTAAAGTCTAGAGTAGTGTTGCATTATGTTAAGAGTGACTCAAACTTTTGTCATAAATGTTGTTGAAAAGTCATGATTTTAATGAGTTGTGACTTTACATCCATAGTATCGAGCGCATTATCACACCTCGCCTAGCACTGACAACAGCAGAGTTCCTGGCCTATCAATGTGAAAACCATGTCCTGGTTATTCTTACAGACATGAGTTCTTATGCCGAGGCTTTGCGAGAGGTCTGTTTCATTGAATTTTTTATTTTGAGGTTGAGAATTGCATTGAGATATTATTAGGTAGGTGAAAATGATGTATCAAAATGATGTTGGAGGGGGGGGGACTTCAGGGCCCAGATAACACAATCCAGTGGATATTTAAACAACTGGGGCCAGAGAATGATTATTGATCTGCATTGTATTGGAAAATCGCATTAGGTTTCTTCACTTTGTCTAATTTTTACTGTTTAATTTTAATTTTTACCATGCAGGTGTCTGCTGCCCGTGAAGAGGTTCCTGGCCGTCGTGGTTTTCCAGGATACATGTACACTGATTTGGCCACAATTTATGAGGTACAGTACAATGTATCAATGGAAACGTGTGATTTGGTAATTCTGTAATGAGTGAATTTAACATTAACAGAACTTTTATTATTTACTAGCGTGCAGGACGTGTGGAAGGAAGAAATGGTTCCATCACACAGATCCCCATTTTAACTATGCCTAATGATGGTAAGGAAGAATTTGCTATAACGTCTTAGTAAAGCCATTAAGTGAGTGAGTGTCCCAATTAAAACTTGATAGTATTGTTGTTACTTCTCTATCTTCTCCGGTTCTTCTACAAAACTGTCATCACCTTCTTAAAAAGACAGTTGCAATTTAATCAAAGCCGTCATGACTCAAGGCTATTTGCATTTGGCAGTACTCAAGGCTGGTTGCATGCATTTACATATCAAGCTATCGTTGGCCCAGGGTCTGAGGCCAGCATCAATTGGAGAAAGGACTTCGCACACTCCCCCTTAAGGATTGATGAGCAGACTTAATGGAGTGGCAGAAATTGAACACACCTTTGCCCACTTGTGATAGTTGCTACTATTCTGATCTGTCATTGTGATGAGTTTGGTCTTCCTCCTCAATACAAAACTCAATCAAAGAGCGGTTTATTTAATGCAGTAATGTTGCTTGAGCAAGTAAGACTTTCTCTACCTGTTGTGTGGTTTAAGGCCTCAAACACTTTTTCTTTTCCTGGTTGCCTTTAGATATCACCCATCCCATCCCAGATTTGACAGGTTACATTACTGAAGGGCAGATCTATGTTGATCGCCAGCTTCACAACCGACAGGTATGATTCTGTGTCATTTTCATGAAGTCAGAACCTGATTATGTTGCTGTAGAATCAAGTGACGGTGATGCTTTGACTTGTTTTTGATGCAAAGATGATAAAACTGTGGTAGTTCTTTAATCCATTTATCGTAAATTTAAGATCTGATAGTTAATTTTTCATTCTGCATGAAGCTGCAACACAACGTTCTTGTAAATAACGTGAATTATTTGGTTATTATATCACGATGACATACTCGCGGACGAGTTTTTATATTCTCCTAACATGGTTGCTGGATAATTTATAAAGATTATTAGAAGATATTTGCTAACCACTTCCTCTTCTGTGGAGTAGATATGTACGTAGACGCTGAATGTTTTTTTTTTTTTTTTACTAGAAAAGAAAAAAAAAATACTGCATTAGTATGGGGCTATTTCTCTTTCCAGGTGTACCCTCCAATCAACGTGTTGCCTTCATTGTCGCGGTTGATGAAGTCTGCCATTGGTGAAGGCATGACGAGAAAAGACCATGCGGATGTTTCTAACCAGCTGGTACGCCTTTATCAAACGTTATCAAACGTTAATCTTTCATTGAGTTGTACAAGATTATTTCAGGAAGTGTCAACGAGTGATTGCAGTTGTACCTGAAGGGTTACCAGTGTTTAATGACTACTTTACTGAAGCCGGGAATTAATTCTTTAAATAAAACATTTGCTTTTTTGGAGAAGTTACACATGACGTTTTTTTGTAAAGGGGCAAGTGGCAAAAAATGGAACTTGTCTTCAACTCCTTACAGCTATTGGAACGCACAAAAGAAAATTGCTGCCTCAGCCGGCCGAGGACAAGAGATTTTTGGTTTCTTTCTTTTTTTAGGATTATCGAAAAAGAGTGTAAAATCAGAGTTAAATTTTGAATTTTTTTTTCTCTAAATGTTTTTCAGGACTCTCCCGTTTTTAAATTTTAGAGGCTTTACGTGTTGCTTTAAGTTTTGTTGACTCATAATTGAAAAATGCTCCAAAATGTCTTGGCTTTTCATTTTCAGTATGCTAACTATGCTATCGGCAAGGACGTTCAAGCCATGAAGGCTGTTGTGGGTGAAGAAGCCCTTACATCTGAGGACTTGCTGTATTTAGAATTCCTGTCCAAGTTTGAAAAGAATTTCATAACACAAGGTATGACAGGGTGATCCTCCACTTTGAAAAAAGAAGTTGTGTATGTTCAGTTTCTCTTGAAGAATCATTCGTAGAGGTACGAAATTTGTTTCACTTCAGGTAGGGGGCGAACTTGCTATGGGTGAAACCTCCAGAGACCAATTAGAGAAGTTTTCTCCCAAAGCTAACCAAAAAGAACCCCCGCTCAACCATGAAATGCGGAAGTACAATAGCACGAAGACAAATATTTAATCCTCTCTGTTCCAGTCATAAAAATCCCCTTAAGAATGATATGTTAATCTCAGCGAAGCACAGTGTATCAGCACGTTCACGCTTGTGACATGTTTCATGATATGTTTTTTACACACGAGGCTGAACGCAAGGAAATTTTACTGAACCTGACAAATATGTCGTAAGCTAGACACATTCAGGAGTTATGGTAAATGATAAGCTCACTAAATTGTACCGCCTCAAGAGATGCCGAAACCTTTAGAATTAAGCAGTACCGAAGAAGCTCTAATCTTGTAATCCTTTCTTTGCCTCTCAACTCAACTCAAGGGCCATAAACTTTGGTCTCGACCAAAGATATGCATCTAGAACAGTTTTATCTGTTCCCTTACTGAATGGTTTCTTTTACTCACGGGACATAAATAGTTCCGATGTTGTGCCTTGAAGGAAGGTTCCACTGTATCTTTGTGCAGCCTGTGGCATCTCAGAATACAGGAAATATAATCTTAGTTCTTTCTCTTGCAGGAACATACGAAAATAGGTCAGTATTTGATTCTCTGGACATTGGCTGGTCCCTGCTGCGTATCTTTCCCAAAGAAATGTTGAAGCGAATTCCGCAGTCCATCCTGGCCGAATACTACCCCAGAGACGGCAGGGGAGGATCTGATTAAGTTCAATTACACAAAACAGAAATTATTATGCCAATTAGTACTGACAGTACTTGTTTGAAAATGATGTAATGAGGTAACGTTGTGATTCATTTGCAGAAGTTGCTGCCTTATTGGTGCATAAATTGGGTCAAATTCAAAATGAAAACGACTTGCATTAGGTAAAAGGTCGACAAAAACAGTTTTCCCTCTCGAAATTGACCTGATAATTAAGAAATTGATAATTGAAAGAAGCTTTGCGGAAAGTGTCAATATACTCTGGCATAAAATCGTCGGTATCTCTTCTGTATCGTAAGTTGAATCTTTAGGTAGGCATCTAAATGTTGCTGTGAGCAGTTATTAGAATTACTTTTCTTGTATGTAATTAAAGGATTTGATATCAGTTAAAGTTGTGATGTGACTGATTATCTGTGTAATATACTTCCTCTTATTATCGCAATAAACTTGAACGGTCATCAAGTGTTCCTTCTTTTGTACGTCTCGTGAGGTTCAAAGGCTAGACCTAGTCTCCTTCGCAGCCGTTGTTTGGGATGACCCCAAAGAGTTCTTCGGGGTGGTGGTGGGGGGGAGGGGAGCGTTGCGTGATATTCCAATGAGAATAAAGGGGACGCAGCAGTAAACGCGAAACAAGCGACCAGAAAACCCCATCAGCTATACTCCTCAACAAATTTTACAAGGAATCTTTCATATCTTTCCGGAAAATCCTATTTTGATGTCCAGAGATGGAAGAATCAAATGTTTTCTTCTGGTAGTGAAGCATTCTGTTACTTCGAAGCCTAGCTTTTCCGAGAATAATCTCGAGAAACTCGAATCAAGTACCTCTTGAGATATTTTTGTCACACCGCGACAAGCCAGTGCCTTAATATATTTTTTTCGTTCATGATCCCATTTCAGAGACTTTTCTTTTTGTCCCAGATCCTAAAATTTCGTCTTATTCTAATCCCTTATCTCCTGGTTATGATTATACATTTTACCCTATGTGGGTGCAAATCACCAACTTCAGGTATTTGGCAGCTCAGTTGGTTAGATTTCTGCCGTAGTCATGGCTGAGAATACCGTTCCATCCTGAATTAGAGAGAGTTTCTTCGAAGCAACTAATGTCCGAAATTATCTTTACTATGTTTATAACACTTGTTTTTAACCCTTTACATCATAACATCAGAATGCATAATCCCCATACTGTTCTCGATACATTTCCCAAGGAGCAGTCAGGAATAATGATGGCATCTATAGTTGGTGTTTATCTCCTTTATTCTCGTGACCTTAATGCCAGAGACAGGGGTGATATTGTAAGGAGAAATTAGATGCTAGTTAGCAAATGGTAAACACTACAGCGCACACTATTGAGCTATGGATGCATGTGGGAGGTTACTAAGCACGAAAGAAGCGTAAGAGTTGCGCGAGGCGATAGCCGACTCTTGCTTCTTGAGTGCTTAGCAAACTTACCAAGTGCATCCATGACTCAATGGTGTACGCTGTAGTGTTTACCATCTGTTTTATAACATAACATTGTTACATTGCAGCGAAAGAGTGCCCTGTTATTTAACACTGAAATCTTATGCGACCAGAAAAAACAAGCGCGTGGAAACTAGTCGCTGCATTTACTCAAGTCAACAGCGTACACCTATGGGAAAATTATGGACACTGAATTGACCAATCAGAGCGCACGCTTCACTTTGATTATGTTATAATCACTCTGAGGAGTCAAGAGTCAATTGGGCGCAGCTACCTTTTGTCAGGCACCACTATTTGAGCTAACTTGACCGGAAAAAAGATCTGTTTAAAGTAAAACTTCTCACAAACTGATTAGCATGAACATTCAAAGATTCAAATTTCTGAGAAGCTCATGTTATCACTCGAATGAATAAACAGGCGAAAGTAGAGAGTGGAATAGGACGTTTAACCGATGTTTAAGAAAGAACTCGGACCCCAAACTCAGGCCAAGCCAAAAATATTATTTGGGGTGTTTATATGTCTGTTTGAAACCGTGGGAGGTGTTGCCCACAAAGAGGAACCTGCATAACGGCTAGATCACCAGTATAGAGAAATTAAGTATAGAATGCTTTAAGTCTATCACATCTTGTAATGGTCTGCCGGTGCTAAATGAATGAAATCTATCTTTTAGAAAAATTTTGTTAAGTTCAAGTCATTTGAGTCCGAGTAAATATTTCTAAAATTACAACTTTACTCACACCTTTTGTTGTAATTCACTAAATTTAAAATCAGCCTGGAGCAAGTTATCCGCATTTGTTTCATGACTGAACGAAGCTAACCGATGAGCGTGGTTAAGCTGACTTTCGTTCCGCCCTTTAAAGATGGAAAACTAATTTGAATTACAAATCGTTTTCAAAATTAATATTCATATTTGAGCTCGGTCCTGCACGTGAAAAGAGCTTACGAACTACAAGAAATTTCAGCGTCTTTTACAGTTTTTGTGGAGTCAAGAAATCAATCACTTTGACCCAATTACCTTGGATGTCGCCAGTTCTGTCAGGGTCGGTGTGTGTTTCGTCTGCTGAATCGAATGGTTCAGACGGACGCCGAGGAAAGTTCAAGCGGTTTGATGTCATTTTGTCGAGACTTCTCTTCAGGTAAATAAGCTAACCTATGATATATTTTGAATAGAAATACATTGTTCGTGTTTTTCCTTGTTTCCCTTGTAAAATCAATTTACAGTGTTCAATGTAAGAAGGGAGAACAAGAAAAAGTAGAGTAGTGTAGGACAAATCCTCAGTAGCTGTTAAGAACGACTCAATAAATCCGCGGTTAAACTCAAAAGTTTTACTTTATTCTGACTAAGGACAAAACCTCCTTGGCGAATACTCGAATGATCTTCACAAATCAAAATCTCGAACGAAGTAAAAGTACTTGACATTTGATCCCTGTCACTCATTTTAAAAATACCATAAATGTAACGCAACGTCACGTTCTCATGAACAGTAGCAGCCGCCATGACAGTTCTTCTTGAACAGCTTGACTTTCAGAGCAAAGCTAGAAACTCGTACTTTACTTTTCTATTTAGATTTCTGTACTTATTTTTAATATTGTGCACAGTTTTTCGGTGCTTATGACAATAATTAGAATTTATTATATCCATTTTTAAATCACTGGTGGGTCCCTGTAATTTGATTGGCTCTAATTGGTGCGATTTATTCCCGAATCGCACCATTCTTTGCTCTAAATCGCATCATTTTACGCTTGACTGAGTTTTTGACACATGACGTCAAAGTCTTTCTGTTTTGCATATAAAATAAGATGTGAAAGCATTTCCTGTTCCGCTTTTTGTTTAAAAACCGGCTCAGTGCTGCATCAATAAAATATTTGAATTGACCAAGTCCTGTATTTGGGCGATTTCAAAATGGATGTAATAAAGTGGTAATTGAACCTCGTGTAGTGCAATTTTGGTCTGAAATCATACTTGTGATTTCAGCCCAAATTGCACTCCCCTCAGTTCAATTACCATTATTAATCACTTGTTATTTCTTCTACTCTCCAAACCCGCCAAAGAAAGAGAGGGTAATCGTCCAAAAGTTTTAAATTATAAACCTTTTTCTGCATATCAGAATACTGGTTCTCATCTTTAATGCAGAAACTGCGGATGGTAGTTTCTCTTGTTATATTTATTGTGAGGGAAACCAAATTTCTCTTTCTATCTCTCATCAGGACACTGGGCATCAAGCGTAAGATTGAAAAACAGATTGGACATCAAAAAATGCAAGGGATAAAAAAAGGAAAGAGACATCATCCAATAAGGTTGCCCATTTAGTTCTGTAACAACTTGACTCGTATGAGCTTGTAAATCTGACCAATGATGCAAACTAATCAAAGTTAAAAATGAAGGAAACCGCAGAAAAAATAAAATCAGTTTTTATCCAATCTTTGATCTCTCCGATCTCCGCCAGATTGAGGTGTCTTGCAGAGGTTTACAACACTGTTGCTCCAATGAAGCAATGTTAGTGCTCTGTATCTTTTGTTGGTAAAAAAAGAAATACCTTTTCATTACCGATAATGTTTTGAACGTACTCATGTCTTATCAAATTACCATAGCATAGGCTCAACTCGTCGATCGAGTGCTAACAGTCTGAGTTATCTTGTAGATCCCTTTTTGACGTAAAGTTTTCTTGTCTTTCCGTCATGAAGTACCTTAATTAAATTAGCCACTTTTACATGTGATGGCACTCATTAAGTTTTCCATCCGAAAATTAATATTGATTATTTTCAATAAACAAAATTGCTTATCCAGAGAGAAGTATGCATGAATTCACATCATCTTTCCATATTAATTCTCTCACAGGACACCAAGCAAAAGACAAGAGGGCCTAGTAATCGAGAAGTGACGAGGAGGAGGGAACAAAGAACATCATCCAATAAGGTTGGTTTTTAGATCTGTAACGAAATGAAACATTTTAGCTTGTAAATCTTGTGAATCAAAAAAATACTCGACCGTAAATTTATTTTCTTCAGTGGGTGATTTCTTTGATCTCTGTCTAATTATGGTAACTTAGATTGGTTTACCGCTCTCTTGCTTGTTGAAGCAATACTACATGTATAGCTCTGCCTCTCTCTCTTTAGATTGTTGCCCACCTATTTGCTACTTTTCTCTCCTACTCCATTTTTAAATGATACAAACAACCTTAAAATGTGTTTTGCTGATGTGCAGCATAAGTTTACACTCTTTCTTTTTAACGGTAATACTGAAATGAAGAGAATCTCAGCGAGCATTGCAAAGGTAAAAGCGCGCGTTTCATCCGACAAACGCAGCAAATGCTCAGTCGTAGGTACAAAGACCCCTAAAAAACAATAATTTTTCGATTTCTGCAGATTCCGAAGGTCATTTACGAAAAAATATGCTCCACCCAAGCCCCCTTCAATCTGAAATATTTTTTATTCTTTCACGACTCAATTTTTGAACAAAATCCTGTCTAAGGTTATAAAGTAAACTCAACCTTAAAAGTTAAAGATTTTTTTGAAGGTGTAGGAATCTTTTCCGCCTCATAAAACTCCTTCCTTTCTTTCTAACAAAATAGTTTTTCCACATATGGTTTGCGCTTTGGAAGAAAACTGCCTCCATTTTTGTATAAGTGAATATAGGAATTTTTTCACGATTTATTTAGGAAAACGTATTTCGTAGCAAATACGCATCTGGTAGCAAATACGCACTTTCAGTTTTCGACTACAAAGTATTGTTCTTTTAACGAAATACGATGGATTGATGACAGTTAGGCACATGTGAGGATAGATATGACAAGTAATATTCCCTGAACGATCGAACAGAAAAAAAAACATCTTTCTATGATTTCGTTATTTTTAGTCCTATGTTAAACCTATGTTACTCTTTTGTCCTATGTTACTCTTTTGAGAACTAAGTGCAAGGTTGCGTTTTTTCTTTCAGTCCTCCGTCGTTTTTTATTACCTTTTTAGCTTAGATATTTTGATGAGTACTGCCCTTTAATGTTCTTAGAATTCTTAAATGTCCGTGTGTCTTGAAACTGAGCTTATAAATCACATGATCTACCTTCTAAAAAAACTTTCTGAAACCTGTGAGAAGTGAAACTTATCTGTTTCTGGGAAAGTTAAGAAGTTGCACCTCTATCCGTCTTTGGCAGTTGTGATGCTAATGTAGAAGGGATATTACAGAAAAAATTGTTGAGGCAGTTGGAGATGGTAAAGGGTTATTCGTATTGTTTATTTTCTACCTTTAGCTTTTCTATATGAGAACTCGGCCGCTTCTTATTTATCAATATTGATAGAAGCAGTTTTGTTTGGATATAGTCTATGCTTCTTTAAGAAAACATAATTTCGACTAATAAGCCATTTCTTGTATAATTTGTCTCTGATAAATCTTGTATAGTTTAATTTGTTTCTAAATGTTAAGTTATATTCCATCACCTGAGACTTGCATGTATTTCTTTGTTGTCATGATGCATATTTGTTGCGTAAAGGAAATATTCGATATTGGTAGCAAAATTCCATTTCTGATAGTCTCACTGACGGACGCATGCATTCAATTCTGTTGTAAAAATTGACCTTGAATATTTGCTACGGTAGCAAATACACACTGTGAGTATTTGCTACGGTAGCAAATACGCATTTGTAGTAGCAAATACGTCCTTGTGGTAGCAAATACGCACTGCAAGTATTCACTACGGTAGCAAATACGCACTGTGAGTATTTGCTACGGTAGCAAATATGCATTTGTGGTAGCAAATACGCGCTGTGAGTATTTGCTACAGTAGCAAATACGCACAGATGGTAGCAAATACGCACAGCAATCTGGCTCTCTATCCCTCTCTCTCTGTTGGTGTTAAAACATTTGTTTCTAGCTACCGTGGCAACGTTTAGCTTGCCGGCAAATACCAAATATGCGTGGGTCTTAGTAAAAGGCCAGTTTTCACAGTTAGCTTGATTTTTCCCAAATAATAACCCTTTGTGCTTTGGAACAATTGCCTAGTTCTTGAAATATGATTTATTGTGATAAAATTAAGAGTTTTCCTAGTTAAATTCGACTCAGGGATTTTACATTTGCCAGTAAAAAATGTGATGGCTTTGAATGTCTAACAGAGGCTTTCGATTCGGACGTAAACCTTTAATATATATTTTCAATGAAAGACAGTTAAGTATTTATGTATTTACAATGCGTTTTTCTTTTTTTCTTCCCGAACAGTGTCAAGAACCACGGGAAAAACCACACCTCAAAAACTATACATGCAAAGGAGGAAAGACATACAGGACAACCTCTAACAAGGTTAGTTGCTTGGCTTTTATGACAAATGAGCTTCCTGGGCGAAAAAGTTTACTTGCACGAACTAACCTGGATTTAGCGAATGTTTGCAATGCAAAACTAACTTGAGTCAAAAATGAAGAAAACTGCAAAAGATGTATTCAGTTTTTTCAATGTCTGATTTCTTGGACCCTCGAGTCTCTGATTAAGGTGGCTTTCAGTTGTTCACAGCTCTGCTCGATTAATGAAAGTACTACCATAAACACTTTTATCTGTTTTTGTGAAACACTGATGTTAAAGAAATTTCTCAGCTTAGTATTTTGCAAGAATTGAGAGAATAAGTTAGAATGAGCTCGGTTATCCCATTTTGAAAGATTCTTTTTAAAGACTACTTGCCAGCAAATGCTTTTTTTGGCAAGCCTGACGTACACATTTTTCGTCTCTGACTGAACGTTAGGTTTCATCGTCAAGTAATGTAGTCTGGCTTCACTCAAAAACTGATTTCTAACTGCAAAACTTCCAAACGAATGTAACTTCACTCTAAGCCACAATCGGAAGATTTTTAAAAATGTTGTGGAAGGTTTCACTTTGGCAAGATTAAATTTTTTCAATAGTAAAGAAGCAGAGAAAAGGGAATAACCAGCTGGCTTATTCGTTTACTATACACTTATAAGGTAATTTCAGCTGGAGGATTTCCTTACATGGCATGCGTTCGTGTTGTGATAAAATTTCATGCCAGTCGTTAGATGTTAAAATAGGCGTTCATTTGAGAACAAATTTATATCAGGCTGTGGTCTAAATTTATCTACTATTAAGGCTAAACAATTCGGTCTGATGCAAAATATATATATTTCGCAAAATAATTCATAGAGTTTTGTTCTAGATGAATAATAAGTTTAGGGTCTGATTACTTCTAACATAGTCAGAATTTTTTTCTACATTCTCAGGCTATTACCATACGATTCAGGACTCAATTGCTTAAATTTCTCATCCGTTGAGGAAAATCAATTATAGCCGTTCTCCCTGAAAAATTATCATTAGTTAATTTTTTTCCAGAATTATTTTTAAAGATATGTTATAAGTTTGATAGTCTGATCGTTATTTTTTTACGACATTGAAGCGTCCTTGACTGCAGTAAATACATCTTAGCGTCGAACAGTTTAGAAGTTGGGGCTCAAGCTATTAACATTTGTTTCTCACATTTGTTCTGGAATTTATCACCACCTTAAATGAATTTCTTTTTTGACGTGATATCAACAAAAAATTGTAGGCCTCTATTATCAAAAATGCCATATTTCCTCGAAAAAGCGCCGACGCTCTAATTAAGGCTCCTCTTTGAGCATGTAAATGGTGTTGCCTCTCGGCCATAATGTCAAATATCAAACAAATGCCCCTCTGGAATAAGCACTCCTTTCTCCCTCACTTTATTAAATGGCAGAAATACATAGAAAATCTGCTTCTTTTGCCACTTAATTTAAAACGTTTTAAGCTTCAACTACAGGGGAATTAATAGAGCCTCTTTCCCGTTCCAGTTATTTCTATCTCCATTTGGTTGTATAGTATCTTAATATGCGTTACCTGTTCTTTTAATTTTAGTCCTATTGCTATGCTATCTTAAGTGGCACCTCCCTTGATTAAGTGCCCTCCTTCCAATAAGCTGCCCTCCTTTTAGCCGAAATTTTCAATTAAAGCCCGGACTCATATTAAAGGAAATACGATATTTGAGCTCTTGAGGTTAAAACTAAATTGAAACTGTATATTCCACACGTTGATATTTGTTCACAAATAGCTTCTTGAGTGTATCATAAACATATTCAAAACTTTTTAACGCAATTCAATGAAAATCTTCGAGCTTAATTATCAAAAATATAAGAGTTCTCGAGGCTGAAACAAATTTAATAGTGTATGTGCTTGCAAAGTTTATCATCAAATGATATAGTACATTTTTAACGTGATTCAATAAATAATCTTCGAGGCAAATCATTTAACTGGATGGTCGAGCTCTTAGGGCTACAACCAAATTGAACAGTATTCTCTCAAAACGGTGTTGATAGCTCAAAGTGCTTCTGGGGTTTACACCAAATGATATAGTACCTTTTTTGACGTGATTTGAAAGAAATCTTGGGGCCTAAAACAAAATCGAGACAGTATGCTCCATTCATTGATATTTGTTTCTCAAATAGCTTCTAGAATTTATCTTCAACGGTTGACGTTGTTCAAGAAACATCGTAAAGCCTCATCATCAATGCAAATATCTTAGCTGCTAAGGCTAAAATTATAAATTAAAGTAAATTGAAATATGCTCGACAAATTGATAGCTTTTTCAACAATAGCTTATACAGTGTATCATCTACTAATTTAGACTTTTTTCTGACATGATTCAAGAAAAATAGTAGCGCCTCGTTGTCAAATGTCCCAGCTCTTTCGGCTAAAAGAAAATGGGATAATATGCTCCAACTATTCATATTTCTCAATGTGTTAGCAGAATTAATTCTGAAAGTATCGCTTTTGATTTTTAATGTGCAATCTGGAATATGTAACTCCTTTTGATAAAGAAAATATTATTAAACAACAACAACAACAACACTAACACTGAACAACATTTTATTCTTTGATTTTTTTACATAAAATAAAAGTGGGATAGTTTGCCCCGCAAATAGCTAGAAAGCTCAGTGACGGGGCAAGACAAGTACCTGAGTAACATAAATCGTCTATTATCTAAGGACAATGAGTCGTTATTTACACAGTCATAGAGTTACACAGAAAAAGATAAATTAAGAAGACGTTTAAACTTAGAAGGTGTATCTATGTCTCTACTTTTTTTAATGATCATGGGGATTTGAATATAGTTATCTTCTTTTTCTAAGATATCAAATAGCAATTTTCGAAGGACTTTTTTGAAAGCTTTCTTTGGAAGATCCGTTGTACAGCTTAGTATCTTATTCCAAAACTTTACTCCGATCCGAGAGAAGGAATTGTTTTGTATTTCTAGTCTCGAGCTTTTGACTTAAAACTTTCCAGACGTAAACGATCGTGTACTGTATGAATGAATATCAGACGTTTTCTGAAATAGATTTAGTATGTTTGATGGGGTTTTATCATTATTGATATCCTGCATTAGGGTTGATACGGAACTGCTCAGCAATACTGTGACACCAAAGAAACTAATCACGAGACTTCTTTTGTTGTGTATTTTGTTTTCCCAATGTAAGTCATATTAGGGCTAGATACAAAATTAGGATATTTTAAGGAATTTTCTAGTCAAACGGGATTTTAAGAAAATTCAAGGATTCCTACAACATTTAAGGATTTTTTGGCGATAATGTTTAAAAAAATGCAGCCATAACAGAAAAACAAATTTACTCGGGTTTTCTTCCGCTGTTTCCGAGAGGGCTCCATGAAAATGTCAAACTCTGCCAACCGTTTATTGTCGTTACTGTTTGTTTAAAAGAGAAATATGTAAGGAGATGAAGGTGACACTTTCATTTTCTTGTAAATGAATGATAATTTTGAATCAGTTTGGAGTTGATTCCAGGCAATTACACCACAAGAATCTCGCATTTTTATCATCAAACTATGTGATTATTTCGAAAAAAATTTGAGATTAATCGAGACTTTTGGAGAATTTCCGGAAAGATTTTTGGGCCATTTTACGGAATTTTTATATCAATAATAATAATAATAATAATAATAATTTAATATTTATATTGCGCAAATTAACATGTGGATATGATCAAATGCGCATCACAACACTTTTCGGAGGACTTTGGCCGGACTGCATCAGCAGTTTACAAACAATCGAAGGAAACTTATTTGAAGATGCCCCCCTCCCCCCAATTCCCAGTAAACAGGCCAGACCACATCACAGTAATCTCGTGAGTGGGTTCTTTAACGTCCCCTGCCTAACCAGATTAACTAATTACTAGATCCAGGAGACGGGACCTACGGTTTATTCGTCCTTATCCGAGAAGACTAGAATGTCTATCCATTTCTTGATATTATAGAAAGGTAGCGCATTCTCCTCAGTTATTTTAAGACCTTGAGTGTTGGTCCGGCCGGGGCTCGAACCATCGACCTCGACCTCCCGCACAACAGTCCAGCGCTCTAACCATGTAATAAGACAAGAGAATTTTGTTTAATTTCCTTTTATTCACGTGCAAATATAAGCGAAATTTACAAAAGGCAAAGGAAGGAATTCCCTTGAGACCTTCCATGGTAAAGCAAAATATTTACAAACTAAATAAGTCTATCCATCGTTGTCCACAAGGGAACGCCGAAACCTGTGAAAAAATAGATTGCTTGATTCCATAGGCAGCAAAGTCTAAAGATATAAGTTTTCCCGCTGAAAATTTCTAGGATGATATCTTAGAGCAATTTTTTCCAATGCTATTTTGGAGGGAGTAATTTTTAATATGGATAATTTGAATTATATGAATTTATAGGAGACCTTTTGTATTTGTCGTTAAATCCAGGTTACGTTCTCATTTGTCTGTATAGTCACATAATACTTAAAGACTTGAATACTGATTTTCACTTGTCCTACATTATTAATTATTTCTGTAATCTTGAGAAACCAACAATTGGCTATAATCGCTTTAAAAAGTAAATTTTAAAATCTATTGCGTTTGCTTACTACTTTCAATTTTTTGCAGACTGATACTTCAAAGAAGAAAGAATTATTCGAGTGAAAGAGAAGATTCATTCAAAGGTTCAAAACAGTTGTGCACATTTCTGTCGACAAAATGTTGAGTTAGAGCTAGGATTTACTCCAAAAGCAGAGGTCTGGAAAGTTATTTCGTGATTTTTGTCAGTTCAATTCATGCTAAAGGCTGTTTAAAAATTGAAATTTTCCCGCCAAAAAATCAGAAATTTTTTTCAGGTCTGATTTTCACTATTGCTCAAATAGTGCTTTACTGCGAAGGATCGTTCACATATACGTCTCATAACCGCAGTTCATACATATGTTTCATATGTTTGTTGTTGTTATTATTTGTTCTGTAAGTACCATCCGTTTAAATGCGACAAATTTTCCCGCCAGAAAACTTGGAAAAATCGGTTCTCTAAAATACGCATGCGCCGAGTTATATTTTGTAAATATGGCATTGTATTACTATTAGTAAACAAATCAATAAAGCTAAGTGAACTGTCTTGTCTCATCTTTTATTGTCGTTGATATTTAGTAAGCATTTTATTTGTTTTAAATTCTCTTTAATCAAATCATTACAAATGTGTTCGTTTATATACTAAGACTTTTGGCGGGAAAATTTGGACCAATTTGCACAGAGTTTCCCCTAGCAACTTTTAAGAGGCTTCCTTTGGAATTTCCCGCCAATTAAATAATCAAGCAGCGTCTCGTACAAAAAATTGAACAGCAAACGAAAATGCCGAGTTCCGTTTCTTTCCATTGAAGTTTCCGACTTGACTTTGTCCATCTCTCAGCCAACTTGTTACTTTTTTAAAATCGTCAATTCTTTGTACGAGATGATGAGTGGAAGTTGTTAACGAAACAGCATCATGGCAAGCTACAGAGTCCAATCAGTAATATAAAATTCATCGCCAAATTGTGATCCATTTGTGAAGTCACGTTTGTTTTTCATCCAAAATTTTCTTTTTTTTTTTCTAGCGCGCAGCTTGCCATGATGCTTTTTCGGAACAAATAGTCTTTAACTTGGCCAGTTTACGAATGTAACACAGGATACAGATTGTAAAAGCACAGGAAAATTCATTCAAGACTTTTGATAATTCCTTTATTTAAAAACTTTCATTAAAAAAAAAAATTAAACTATTGGAGCATACTCTTTGAATTTGACTTTCGCCTAACTACGCGAAATAATTGTTTGAACAAAGTCGAAAACTTGCAAAGTTTGAAAAATAGTATCAACTGTTGGAGCAATATCTTTCAATTTGATTTCAGCCATGCAGGCTAAGACATTTCACATTCTGCTCCAAGTTTAAGAGATCAAATTCGAAAAGTGATTGAAAAATATGAATCGTAATTATTGGAGCAGACTCTTTTAATATGATTTTAGCCATGTAAGCTAAGATATTTCACAGTTAGGCTCCACGTCTAATAAACCAAATCAAGAAGCAATTTTATAAAAATAATCTTAAATTGTTGGAGCAAACTCTTTGAATTTGATTTTTGCCACCAAAGGGCTAAGAAATGACATAACTAGGCTCCAACTTATTTACGATGAATTCTTTCAAAGAGATTTAGTCATCGTACGCGTTCAGTTTTTGGATCATTGCAATTATAACTTTTGCTGAATTTTTCTTCTGTATTCCTGTGTTACACCGGGTGACTACATAAAAGATCTTCCTTCCACTTAAAATCAGGAGTAAGCTTATATATCTTAACACCCAATGCCTGCTCTTAAGAACAACCAATGATTTTCTTTTTCGAACGCGACCAAAATGACAAGTTTTGTGGACTAACTGGAAAATTTGTATTAAAAAGCAACCTTGTATAGACCAGTTTAAAGATAACCATCGCAGGATATGAAAAGAACTAGCTTTCAGAGCGAGGAAACAATAAATTCATTTTAATCCATGATATTTGATTTGTATTTAGCTGCATTGCATCTTTGGGCCATACGGTTTGGAAAATCAACGTGCCCTTGGCTCAAAATTCAAATTTATGAATGAACATATGTTCATCATCATTAATATCATCATTAATATGCGAAAAAATTCAGTGACATATCTGATTTGATTTCGTAAACAATAATTCTGTTTAATTTACATTTCTGATTCCCGCGTTTGACTTAGAAATTATCGTACCCGACCAAAATTCCAAATCGTTACATAAGCTAATAAGAATCGAAAGTGATTTCCGGCTTCATTTTTCTTTTCGTTCGTATGAAACAATTGTACTCTTCCATAATAAGAGTTGTTCGTCAAGTTGTTTGGTCAAAATTCTTGATTGTTCACGTTGATTTTGTCCAATCCTTGAACTTTTTTTCGTCGATTTGCAAAACAATCATCATTTCTATTTATACGAAACACGAAAATCTTTTATTTCTTTATGAAAGGAGTAAATTTAAACTGGTTTAGATAAAGGTAAATTTCAACCAAATCAATTTCTCGACATAAGCTCGTGACCAGGCATTAGAGTTTTAAAATATAAAACTATCAAACAAAAACTAAACTCAGTTGATGGCGCAAAGTAGCGTATAAAAATCCAAGATGGCACTAGAAGATGTTTTTTTTGCCTCATGTATGGAAAACAACTTCGTTCTTTCTGAACAAAATCTGTTAAATTTTTTCTAAGTTCAGGCCATGCCTAGAACGAATTTTCAATTACATCAGTGTTTTGGGCTAGTCTTTTTTTTCGGTGGCATTTTGTAGTCAGTCGTTCGGTTGAGAATAGTCCTCAATGGGACTGTTCTTTTTAGGTCAAAACTCTACGATTTTTGGTTCACAAAACTGATTGATTAGTGCTGTAGTTAGTGGCTGTCAGACTCGAGTGGCGTTAGTCGGTTGATCAGTCAGTTCTGAACAGTTATTAGGGTCAGGCTAGTTTGTTATTTTTGGTCTGTCTACACCCTGTTGACTTTTTTTTTTCTTAAGTAATTAGTAGAGCCGGCCGGTAGTTGTTTAGCTTTTCAAAGGCAGTTGTTGAAGATGATTGATGCAACATGGGACCAACGTAGAGCTGCGTACAGATTAATGCTGTTGTCGTATGGTAAGGGAAAGAGTACCATGTAACCCCATACATTTATTATGCATTCCACTTTGTCTTTCACGACCAAACTTTAAAAAAAAAAATCTACTGGTCTGAATTCATAATTAATGTATGGGGTTATATGGTACTCTTGCCTATGGCAAGTCTTTGGTGTTGAGCAATGTAATTTTTGGCGAATAAAATATGCGAGATCAATTCATTTATCAAAATATTCCAATTTTGAACTCCATTTGGTCCTTAGTTTAAGTGCCATCTCAAGAAATATCCTCTTTGTGCGACATCAACTGAAATACAACCGCGATACAAATTGTAAAGCAAACAACAAAAGTGAGCGATCAACAATTTTAGTTCCAGCTTTGTATAAACTTTCAGTTGTTACATTGGTTGTGACGTGAAAATCTGTGAGAAATTGCACCAAATTATCGCTAGTAGTTCAAATAGATCCTACGATCGCTCAAGGTTTGCATAACAATCCATATCATAACTATTCCAAAAATGGTGGCTAATATAACAGCATTCACCTACCACGTACTCCAGTTTTATCCATCCCATGACAATTGGTTAAAGACTTAAGACTTCTTCCAATAAAAAGACATTTAGAGAGCCACCATTTTTGCTACTATTACACAATAATTTTAAAGTTCTTATCTTTGCAGTATCCACTCCAAACTTTGAGTTAACTGATTTAGCTTTGAGTTAAGTGAGTCTTGACCGCAGTCTTTATCCTTCCATTCTTCTGACATCCTTGCTTCGGCAAGAGTACCATATAACTCCATACATTAATTATGCATTCAGTCTTTGTTCAGTTAAAACAATAGCGATAACAATAGAACTCCGCAGAGACTAGTAGTCTTTGTTTTCAAAATTTGGATTTTTTTTCTAAGTCTTTTTTGAAACAAGGTAAATTTGGTGCGTTTTCGCTGTGCAAAACGGAAAACTCAAGTAATTTTCCAGAGGTTTTTAATTTTGAAATATAACTGAATGTTCAGTTTCGCTTTGAAAGCGTAAAATTGGCCGGAAAACAACGTTAAGTCTACGGTCAGGCTTTGAAGTTTGTCAATGCAAAGTTTAAATAAATGTTGTGTCTTACCTGTTCTTGTGGTTTTGGTTGATTCTTTCATTATCCTTTCGTGTCCTAGTGATGAAAATTGTTCGTGAAGGCCGGTGCATACAGCGATGCAAAGAAACCTTTGTATCTAGTCTTTCTGGACTTCACAAAGTTGGGCGATATGTTCGATAATGTTTCCAAAGGGATCGTTTCCGTAGTGCTGACGCCACATATATTCTTGTAGGTAGCCATCGAAAAGTCCTTTGGATGTTCCTGTTTGGGGCAAACCTCGCTTGATTCCCCACCATGTATTTTCGATACCCTGTGTGTGCGCACCGGTGAATTCCGGCGCATTGAAGCCATTCCATCGCAACCCTTTTTTGAACATCGCCACTCGTACCCGTCTCGCGATGAAGCACGTCNAAATAATTTGGATATATCAACAAAGTTGAAATGGTAAATTGGCCACTGTAACGATTACAAAAGCTGACGTTTCGAGCGTTAGCCCTTCGTCGGAGCTAACGCTCGAAACGTTAGCTTTTGTAATCGTTACTGTGGCCAATTTACCATTTCAACTTTGTTGATACATCCAAATTATTTCGTTACTCCCATCGACGCAGCCCCAAACAGTTTCTTTCGAAACTACCAGCCTTTATTCACTTGTTAACAATTCGTCACAAATCCACGCGGCTTCATTCAACTACAGAATGAAGTCCCTAACTAAATGTTATCGTGAAACAACAGGTTCTGCTCCTCTCGAAGCCAACACTCCAATTTATTCGAACTTTGATTGAAAAGCCGCTCAGACCAAGAAACCGACACGTATCAACTTCTTTTAACTGAGATGATACGACTCGTTTAACTTTTTGAAGATGTTTAAGGCAATAATTTCCAAAGGAAATGCTTACCTTCGGTTGTAGTAACAGGAGACTGGATTTCATTTCTCTAGTCTTGGACAAGCGCCTTCTTCCCTCCAGAGTTTAACTTTACCTTCAACACAACGGAAGGCACGTCTTCAATCTCCGGGGGACGGCGTGGTGTGCTGAAAATTCTACATATTCTAATGAATATGGATGAACAACTGCAGCCAGCTATCGGCTGATACGTCAGTGATTGGGCGCAGA